CTCCTCCTCTCCCTCCTCCTCTCCTCCTCCTCCTCCTCCTCTCCCTCCTCCTCTCCTCCTCCTCGTCCTCTCCCTCCTCCTCCTCCTCCTCCTCCTCCTCTAAACAACACAGAACTGATATTTCTAAACTGGTCAGGTCGGTTCCTTTAATTTACAGTGGTTCTCAACCTTCCTAATGCCACAACGCTTTAGTACAGGTCCTCATGTTGTGGTGACCCCCAACCATAAAATTATTTTTGTTGCTACTTCATAACTGTAATTTTGCTACTCTTATGTCTTAGGCGACCCCTGTGAAAGGGTCACGACCCACAGGTTGAGAACTGCTGCTTTAATAGGTGAATTTTGCCTCTTTGCACTTAACAACTGATAGATTTTTATTCTGATTCTTCCAGTTGACTTTCCTTTTATTTTACTTTGTCATTTTCCCTTTTCCTGATTTTTGCAGGGTTGTCGATTTCTATGTATTTTCTTTTTCCCCTTTGTTAGTTAAGGGTGCTACTTGTCAATCGATGGTCATTGGCGCCAATTCAGTGCCAACAGGATTCCCCTATTTGGGGTGCAGTGAAGAGGGAAGCCGTTCAGTGCAGACAGCTCAGCTGGGACTCAGCACGGCTGTGGCGCCGCTCGGCAGTGTTGCCGCTCAGTTACGAGACGGCAGGGCTGTGAGGAGGACCTCGGGTAAGGCCCCCTCCAGCTAGACAGCTCTGCTCGGCTCTCTCTGCTCGGGCAGGGGTGAGGCCCCTCTCCAGCTAGACAGCTCTGCTCGGCTCTCTGCTCGGCTCTGCCCTGTCTGCCTGCTCTGCTCTGGCGAGAAGTCTTCGGGGGAAACGCAGTCTGCGTTTTTCAGTTTTGGGAGGAAAGGGAGAATGCACTCTGAGTCAGAGGGGAGCCCCTGCCCCTGGTCCCTGACTGGTCTGTCTTCATGCAAAGGAGGCCCCCAAATCCTTACGGTCTGAATGGTCCAGAAAGCACTGTCCTGCTTGGTCAGAATGGAGCCTCTCTGACTGGCTGGTGAAGATGCTGATGGGGGCACAGAGCTGTGCAGCTTCAGTTGGATGGGGACAGTTTCGGTCCTGTTGGTTGAATTAGGACTCGGGAACTCCTTTAGAAGTTGCTGGCTCAGACAGCAGGAGCAGGGCAGGCCGGCAGCGTCGTCCCGGCTTCTCCGGAAGCAGGCTTTGTGGGGGGCCTGTGCACAGTCAGCTGCCAGGCTCTTTGTGGACTTGAGCCCAGGCAGCCACCAGAACCCCTCGCCAGGTATCTTCTTTCTGGGAGTCATCATACTCTACACTTCCATCCTCTGGTGGAGATCGTCTTTTTCCCAGTGCTCTTGGTAAAAAGTCCCGAACTTCAAGAAAAAAGATGGACTCTTTACTCAATAAAGAGGGTCCACAGAGAAAGCCCAGCCTGGCACGGGACACACCTTGGGGATGCCTGAAAGTCAGAAGGGGGTCGACAGCCCTGAGAGCAGAAGAGTGGAACACAGGGACTCCAAGATGTCCTTCCCCTCTCGGGGCGAGGGGCTGTCTTCGTGGCCAGGGAGGGAGTCCCCGATGATATTCCCACATGCATGTTGGATCTGGGGGAGCTGGCCGAGCAGATCAGCGAGGACAGAGACTTGCAGATGGTGAGGAGAAGACCCGCGGCGTCTGCAGGTGACCCTGTGTGCAAAACGATAAAGGGACCTGTGCCCAACGTGCTAAGTGCTTATTAGGGTTCTTGCAAAACAAAAGGCATTTGGAAAGGGAAAATCTAATAAAAGCCTGGAACTAAAAGTACTAAACTCTCAGCAAAAGTAAGGAACTATTTTATTTTTTATTTTTTTAAAGCTTTTCGTGGATTTATTATTATTTTTTATTTATTTTAGAGAGAGAGAAAGGGAGAGGGAGAGGAAGGGAGAGGGAGAGGAAGATAGAAACATTGATGAGAAAGAATATCAACTGGCCACCTCCTGCATGCCCCCCACTGGGGATCTGGCCCACAACCTGGGCATGTGCCCTGACTGGGAATTGAACCCATGACCTTCTGGTGCATGGGTCAATGCTCAACCAGTGAGCCACACCGGCTGGGCAGTAAGGAACTATTTTAAAGGCCTCATTGGAGCAGGCAAGTGCTTTTTGCTTCAGAAGTGACCCCGTTTTCTTGGGAAGGGGGTCAGAGGTGAGGGAATCAAAGGTGTCTTTGGCTAACAAACATGTTGCTCTACTCTCTGGCCGCTCCAGAGACTGTGAAGCTGCAGCCAGGTTTAGGGGAAGTTTTGCCAAGGAGGGGGTGGACCTCGCCATTATCAAATCCCTGGGACCGGGGCCAGCCTGCGTAGTTCACCTTTGCGATCTGCAGATGAACTTCCCTGACTTTTAAACTCTGGTCAGGTGCTGCTCTTCCCCTTTGGGTGTTTATGGCCCTGTGTGTTCCATTTGTGTAATCACACCCTGCCGGTTGGCAAGTGGGTGCGGGTGGGGACGCAAGGAGGACAATGAGGTGCAGCCCTTTGAGACGAGGTTAGATAGAGTGGTTTCACTCAGGAGAGAAGGTGGGTGGCTCGGAGCCGAGCTGTCGCTCCCCAGGAATGAGGGCCGTGGTGCCCATCCTAAGGAGCAGGGCCGTGGAAAAGCATCTTCGGACGTTCTTGCTGCGTTCCAACATGCGGCTCGGTGGTGGAGAGGACGGTGCTGGCCTGGACTTGCAGATGAGCCCAGCGGAAAAGACAGACACAGCCTCTTGGAGCCAGAGGGCCGGAGCCGCGTCAGGGCTGGGAGGGTGGACTAGACAGCGGGCTGGGCAGTGGTTTCACTGGTCACGCTCCGAATCGAGCTTGGCAGGAGCCTCTGAAAACCCTGTGTGCCGAGTCTCCTACATTCACCTCTGGGGTGACCAATGGCCCGGTCTATCCAGGACTGTTTCAGATTTTAACACCGGAAGTCCCATGCCCCAGGAAACCCCTCAGTTCTGGGCAGACCCTGTCACGTTGCACAGTGTCACTAATGCCCTTGCCGTCTTTGGAGACATGTAAAACCATTTGGAGACTCTGAGGGAGTTGACTATATCATTAATAACCTCCAGTTGGGGTGGGGATTACATTACTTGCTATTTCCTCTAAGTGAATTACCAGCGGGTGTGCATGTGTGCCCTTGCACCTGTGTGTGCAGGTGTGTGCCTGTGTGTGTGTGCATGTGCGTGTACGTTTCGAAGGATGGGCATAGAGCAGTGTGAGCTAAGATGATTGCCAAGTGTTGAATCGAGGGGCTTTCTCGCTCTCTTCCTGGGGACACGGCCACCACCGTTATCTCCGGGTGCCTGTTTCAACCCTGTAATTAACGTTGCTGTTCCTCCGACTGTCACATCCTTTCAGAACTTTTGTTTGACACTGTCTCTAAACTCTGTCTCAGGGATCGGGCTTTGATGGGTCGTAATCCGTAACCAGGGGTTACTGGTTGGGAGTCCCTGCCATTACTGTTCCTCACCCCGTAACATAGACAGTCTGTACAATCCCATGGGGCCACAGACTGCTGTGCAACGTTCCCGGTCAGCTAGACAAGCACGCGCTGTTTACAGTTCAGATATACCCCAAACCATGTGATTGAAAACAATTACTCTTTGATTTAAAAAATGGGTAACAATGGCAACAGGACTAGAAAGGACTTTGGATCAAATCAGCCCTCCCCGCCCCGGTTTTCTAACGGTGCTGTCTTGCACGCAGCAGGGAGACAAGCTGGGGTGGTTGGTAGAGGGCTTGCCACACAGCCCCTGTCTGCTCTTGACACCTTACTTCTTGGGTCGTACACACTTGGGCCCAGAAGTTTCTTCAGAAGCAAGTCCCGTCGTCTTGAGTTTCATCCTTAAAGAGCCAAGACTGTAGTGCCCACAGGAAGTCTTTGCTGGAGACAGCGGAGTGGCCTTCTAGGTGTGACCCTCCTTTGATGACAGTGATGGACATGTTGCTATAAGGAATCAGTGTCTGGAACAGGCATGAGCAGTTGGTGATGGTTACATGCTGGGTGGGTTGGGACCCAGTGCCTGTTGGTCCTTCCCACGGTGGCGTTGGTAACCAAGGTTTACTCGTATGCCTTTCCTGTTTTCTGAACTGCACAGAGGGGCTCAGATCACCGGTACACACTTGGCCAGGGTTCCTGTCCCCACTCTGTATCTCTCATACCCACGGAGGGGCTCATAGTCCATTACAGACCCAGCAAAGACAGGCACATTCTTCTTGCTAGCAGCAGGGAAGTTGATATGCATCCTTTAGGCAGCTCTTCGCCAGGAAAGGTGGAAAATGCAAGGCTGATTGTTAGATTTCAGCACCCAGTTGGCATAACTATAATCTCTAATCACCCAAATGACTCACTGCCCTGGGGACCGAGCGCTGTTAAAGGGGTCTACTATTTGCCTTTCCCCTTGACTGTGAGCCGAACCCTTAACCCTCGGTAGCCTTGTGCTTTCCTTCTAGTCGTTCTTCCCACATAAAAGGACTATTCCAGAAGCCTGGAAGAGCAACGCAGACCTTTACTATGGACTTTCTTAAAGGGGGAAGTGCAGGGGTTTTAGATCCGTAGACAGCTTTCTGAAATCCTCTTTGAACAGCTTTCCTCTCCCCTGTGTTTCTGCTCACAGCCCAAAGGCTCTCTCCTCTCCCCCCGGTGCCCACTCTACTCATGTTTCCTCCCTCCGTCCCCATCGCCTTCTGCTCGCCCCCTTCCCTGACGCCGCTCTCTCCCCAGAACCTCCCCAGCTGCCCAGAGCCCTGGGGGAGTGGACCTCTCTCTGACTGCGTTCCTTTTGGAGAATTAGCACAGCAGCCGGGTTCTTGAGGACCCAAGAGAGAACTCAGTACCACACGCGAATACTGTGTGTCCACACGCACACACACACGTGCACACGCGCGCGCACACACCCCTTTAGTCACATTCTTAGGAGGAAGATATGGGACTCATAGCTTCATGTATACGGTCACCCAACGAACACGAGGAAACATTAACCGGGAGTTTCTCCCCTGGCTGCAGGAATTTGAAGCCTATGTGAACGCCTCTGGAGAGCACGGGATCGTGGTCTTCTCGTTGGGCTCGATGGTCTCGGAGATCCCGGAGAAGAAAGCCATGGACATTGCTGATGCTTTGGGCAAAATCCCTCAGACAGTAAGATGCTTCTGTGCGCGTCCGTCCTCACGAGGGCGCTAACCCAGACCTCGGTTCTGAATCCATTAGTAGTCGGACGTCAGACTTGTGTTTTCCCTGCCACGTCCCAGTGATTAATCCCAAGCTCTTCTCAGGGACTTAAAAGTGTATGAAGGAGAACTTATTTAAACAATAAAATAAAGAGGACAATGTTTCTTCATGTTAAATAAGAATATTTCTCCAAAAAGCTGTTGGTTAGGACAGTGGTATATCATTATAGTTCTAAACCCATTTGATTTCGTTCGAACCATTTGATTAAGTAGGTTTTTCCTTGGGCTACAGAAAAGTGCAAAAATCTCAAATGTATAGCTTGATGGCTTTTTCACAAACTCCCAAATTGTTACCAGCCCCTCTAACACCCCCTCACCCCAAGGTTGTGTTTATTCTGAAGACTCCACTTTGAGCTACTATCGCAGATTTTAAACGATCGCATTCCGTTCTTTAAACCCTCTTCCTGCCGGCAGGTCCTGTGGCGGTACACCGGGACTCGGCCGCCGAATCTCGCCAAGAACACCATCCTCGTCAAGTGGCTGCCCCAAAACGATCTGCTTGGTATGTGGAGACGATGTGAGGTGTAGGGCGAACCAAGGTGAAATTAAGCGGTGTAGGCAGGGTCCTTCTAAAGGGTTGTTTGGCTGGAAATAGTACGGCCAGCATTGTCCACACTGCTTCTCACCCAGCACGGCACCTCAAGCACATTCTCTCCGCAAACGTCCGCAGGGGCCACCGTGGGCAGCCCTGAGTGCTGGGAGTGCTTTCAGAACCCCGGGGACGCCAGGTGTGCCCCGAGTGCCCTGACCGCCGGCCTCCCTGCCTGTGTGCTTCCCAGGTCACCCGAAGACCCGTGCCTTTATCACGCATTCTGGCTCCCACGGCATCTATGAGGGGATATGCAACGGCGTTCCCATGGTGATGCTGCCCCTGTTCGGGGATCAGATGGACAACGCAAAGCACATGGAGACCCGGGGAGCAGGAGTGTCTCTGAACGTCCTGGAAATGACTTCTGAAGATTTAGAAAATGCCCTCAAAGCTGTCATCCATGACAAAAGGTAAGAGAGAAGGCACCGAGAAACACGACTTGTGTTTTGCCCGGCGCAGTCACAGTGAATATTCAGACAGACACATGCAAATCTATCGATGATTCTGGCCAGTTTGGCTCAGCGGTTAGAGCGTCGGCCCGTGGACCAAGGAGTCACGGGTTCGATACCAATTAAGGGCACGTACCTCGGTTGTGGTTTGGTCCCCGGCCCTGGTCGCGGTTGTGCAGGAGGCAACCAGACCGTGTGTATCTCTCACATCGATGTTGTTCTCTCTCTCCCACTCTATCTGAAAAAAAAAAAAAAATTATCTCTAGGTAAGACAATTTGGGATTATTATTCATTTTATGAAAGAATGCCTGATTCCTATTGAATCATGGACATAATTTTAAATGTTATTTTCCTTCGCAGATTTAAAACTTAGTTTTAAAAATAATGTCCCTATAATAGATGCCTGATCTATGAGTTTCTGCAAAGAGAGGGACATCCCATTGTAGGAAGCATAGTGTCCCTAAGGTATAACCGACCAGGTACTGCGAAGCACGGCCTTCCCGGCACTGGGGCTGTGAGGGCTTTTGTCCATGGGCACCGATCAGTGGGGTCCTGTGAAATCACTCACGAGAAAAGGCTTATCATGAAAAGCAAAGACACGTTTGTTCAAATGTGGCTCAGAAAACGATTGAAAAGGCAAAAGCCCATCAGATCAAATGGTTTCTACTTGGCCTTTGTGGTGTGGCTGTCAAGCTCACTAGTAATAGGCTGAAAGAAGTGATGACCAGGGGTGATTTCCATCCAACTGTCAATAATGTGTGTGTGCATGTGAGAGTGCATGTGTGCATGTGAGAGTGCGTGTGCATGTGAGAGTGCGTGTGTGCATGTGAGAGTGCGTGTGCATGTGAGAGTGTGTGTGCATGTGAGAGTGCGTGTGTGCATGTGAGAGTGCGTGTGCATGTGAGAGTGCGTGTGTGCATGTGAGAGTGCGTGTGCATGTGAGAGTGTGTGTGCATGTGAGAGTGCGTGTGTGCATGTGAGAGAGTGTGTGCATGTGAGAGTGTGTGTGTGCATGTGAGAGTGCGTGTGCATGTGAGAGTGCGTGTGTGCATGTGAGAGTGCGTGTGCATGTGAGAGTGTGTGTGCATGTGAGAGTGCGTGTGTGCATGTGAGAGAGTGTGTGCATGTGAGAGTGTGTGTGTGCATGTGAGAGTGCGTGTGCATGTGAGAGTGCGTGTGTGCATGTGAGAGTGCGTGTGTGCATGTGAGAGTGCACGTGCATGAGAGAGTGCGTGTGTGCATGTGAGAGTGCGTGTGTGCATGTGAGAGTGCGTGTGCATGTGAGAGTACGTGTGTGCATGTGAGAGTGCGTGTGTGCATGTGAGAGTGTGTGTGTGCATGTGAGAGTACGTGTGTGCATGTGAGAGTGCGTGTGTGAATGTGAGAGTGTGTGTGCATGTGAAAGTACGTATGTGCATGTGTGAGTGCGTGTGTGGGGGGGTGTGTGTGCATGAGAGTGTCAGGAGCCTTCACCAGCAGTTGCTTCATTTCAGAAAGACATCAGTCAGGAGGGCAGCTGTGAAACCTGGGGGTGTGTTCCGATGAGAGGAGATAACGAGACGGGCACACTGAGCCTGGACAAGGGAAAATGGTGGGGAGGGGAAGGATGGTGCTGGCGTGCACATGCGTGCGTGCGTGCGTGCGTGTGTGTGTGTGCGTGTGTGTGTGAGAGGGACTTGGCAGAAGTTCTCTAGTACATTATTATCTTTTAAAAACACGAATCCTGCCTGATCGGTGTGGCTCTGTGGATTGAGCACTGTCCCATGGACTGAGAGGTCCCGGTTCGATTCCCAGTCAGAGCACATGCCTGGGTGGCAGACTTGATTCCCAATAGGGGGTGTGCAGGAGGCAGCTGATCAATGTATCTCTTTGACATGGATGTTTTTCTCTCTCTCTCTGCCTTCCTTTCTCTCTCGAAATCAATAAAAACATATTTAAAAACACCATTCCATCAGCTCAAGTTATTAACTTTATTCATTTTTGAGCCATCTCTGTCTGATTGTGAATCTTCATTTTTCCAGCACTCTAGGCTTAGACTTGACCTACATAATATAAAGAGAAATGGAAAACATTTAAATAGCCAACTATGCAACCAGACCATAACAGATGCACAATAAATATTGACTGTATTAATGAAAGTTCAAGGAACTCTATCTGGCTTAAGAGAAGACTTATGTAAAAGAAAGATGTTTGACAGTATTTATGGAAAATATTAATATTACATTATAGTAATGAGTTCAAATACAATGACAGACATGTTTCAGGACAGCAGCAATCATAATTACTCCAGAATAGAAGTGTTTTTTTCTTTTCTTTCTCTTGTTTCTTTCCCTTTTCCTTTTGCTTTTCCTCCTCCTCTTTCTTCTTCTAGTGCATGTATACTAACTGTTGAAATGTCCAACCCATTTTAGATTTGGATGTTCTGATTCAGCTATCAACACTGTGCCAAATACACAGGAATCCAATTTGCTTTAACAGGTTGCATAGATACAGCCTCACGCAAAATTTAGATCAATTACATGAACAATATACCACCATCTTGGAAATGGCACTTAAAAATGGCTTTTACTTCGGCCGGATGTGATTGTTTAGAAATTTGAACGAGAGCCCTGGCTGGTTTGGCTCAGTGGTTAGAGCATCAGCCTGCGGGCCAAAGAGTCGCAGGTTTGATTCTGGTCAAGGGCACGTAACTCAGTTGCAGTTCGTCCCCAGCCCTGGTTAGGGCCATGTAGGAGGCAACCAGTTGATGTGTCCCTCTCACATTGATGGTTCTCTCTCTTCTTCCCCACATACCCACTCTATCTGAAGATAAATGGAGAAATATCCTCGAGTAGGATTATAGGAAAAAGAAGAAAGAAATTTGAACAAGAAATCATTCATAATTTCCGACATGACCTTTTTCTTTATTTCTTTCTCTTACTATAAATAAAGAGTAATTAATTTTCTACAAAAATGTCACTAAAAAGAAAATAATAAAAGTAACAAGCAGGTTTAAAATAATTTAGAATTATAATTTTGGCTGCCAGTTTTTTTTCCTTCCTTCTCTTCCCTCTCTTTCTTTAGATAAAGAACAGTGTGTGTGTGTGTGTGTGTTTGTGTGTGTGTGTGTGTGTGTTTTGCTACTTATAAGAGAGACGTATTTTCTCTACCAAGTTTGGAGAAACCAGGTACGTTTCTCACCGGAAGCAAGCATGCTAGTGTAAAGGGAGGACAGTCCCTGCCGTCCATGCTCCAGCATCACCTAACTGTCTTTGTGTTTAGCTATAAGGAGAACATCATGCGTCTCTCCAGCCTCCACAAAGACCGTCCCATCGAGCCACTAGACCTGGCTGTGTTCTGGGTGGAATTCGTGATGAGGCACAAGGGAGCGCCGCACCTGCGCCCTGCGGCCCACGACCTCACCTGGTACCAGTACCATTCTTTGGATGTGATTGGCTTCCTCTTGGCCGTTGTGCTGGGAGTTACCTTCATTGTCTATAAAAGCTGTGTCTTCGGCTGCCGCAAATGCTTTGGGAAGAAAAAGCGAGTGAAGAAATCGAACAAATCCAAGGCACACTGAGAAGTGGGTGAAAAATGAGGTGATCCAAATTTGCAGTCAGTGTTAAATTCATGTTATGCTCATTGAAGAAATGCTCCTTGTGAGTTAGACACCTCAGAGTGTTTTTAAAATAAAAATAATTTCATTGCTAGGTAGAAATATTTGAAAATGTTTTCTGTACACTTGCTCCCTTTCAAATGACTCCCGGGAGGGTGGGACATGTCCTGTTCCCTCTGCCTTCCTCTTACCCAGGATTGGGGCCTGTCTGGGAGCCACGGTGGCCCCTACTCAGATGATGATTCAACATCTGGCTTCTGTAGACTGTTGTGATCAGTTCCCTCCGTAATGATGGCAGGTCCTAATTTATTCACATGCTTCACAGATGTCACTTTGCATATTTAAAGAAGACAATGGTTATTCCTTTTAAGGCCTCGTGCCTTGTACTTGAAATAAGAGAATGACCAGAGCCCTTTGAGAGCAGTGTGTGAGTTCTTTCTTTGGGGGAAGAGAGTGATGCATGAATTGATGGGCAGCGTGTGTGACCAGACAATCATTGCTTGTGCCAAATGGATCTGACTTTGATACAAGCCCGAAATACCTTTTCCTCTGATGTGTGTTCCCCACATCTAAACATATATTAATAAATGTATAAAATTCTATTTCGTAGTATTCTTCTTTTCATTGGTGTTGCATTTGTTTATTGTTCAATTACATGTTCTGTGTACAAAAGCAATGCATGATTATGACAGGAAATTGGAAAAATACAGACTTGTACACATACGCACACAAGAAAATAAAAATCGTCTGTAGTCACGCTCCTGAGAAATAATCACAGTTACTATTTTGGCAAATGCACATGACATCTTGGAGCTCTTCCAGGTATTTGCTGTGTTGTCCAACATTCTTTCTTCACTTCATGCTAACATGCATGATCTCCCACGTCTTTGTATGAACATTTAATTTGTTTTTAGTGGCCAAGGACTATTCTATTGCATAGATTTACCAGGATGTGTTTAACCATAGCTTCTGGGTGGATCCACTTCTATTTTCTTTTATAAAGAAAGCTACAGTCCGGCCAGTGTGGCTCAGTGGTTGAACGTTGACCCATGCACCAAGAGGTCGCTGGTTCGATTTCCGGCCAGCACACGTGCCCCAGTTGTGGGCCCGATCCCCAGTGAGGGGCATGCGGGAGGCAGCCAATTGATGTTCTCTCTCATTGATCTTTCTATCTCTCCCTACCTCTCCCTTCCTCTCTCTCTAAAATTAACACTCTAAAGAAAGCTACATCTTGGCCCATATTCCCGACTGCTTCCATGGGAAAGAACTTCACAATGAATCAATCATTTTGGTCCCTCTTTGGTGAGGGATCGAGGGTAAGTAGTTTATTTAGGAACTGAAGGGGCATGGGGAGTGGGATGGGGACTAATGGCCGCCAAGTTACCAGCTCTCCCGGGGGTGATGGACTAAATCCCCTGGTGGATGCTAGGAGCCAGTCAGAAAATGCGCCAGACTCATCCCACTGAGGAGCAAGACCCTTGGGTATCTGAGCCCTGGCCTTGTTTGCCATCGACTGCTCCCAAGTGGTTAGTGATTTCCCGCACTTTTGGTCCGTGTCGGGGCTCTGGAAGCCAGAGAATGCACGGGAGAGAAACGTGGGTGTGGTGTTGGAGGTGGGCTTGTGCACCAGGGCATCCGGTGGGGTACTGCCGCATCTCATTGCAGATGGTTTGGAATATTCCCCAAAGGCTTTCTGCCATGTGTGAGAAAGCCGGGTGCCCACACCCTGTGCAGTAGAAAGCAACATCTTGCACCAAAGAAGAGATCAGTCTGTTAGGAGAAATGTGGGATCTTGTTTTAAATTTGCTTTTATTGGCCCGGCCGGTGTGGCTCAGTGGAGCGAGCACCATCCCATGGACTGAAAGTTCCTGGTTCGATTCCCAGTGAGGGCACATGCCTGGGTTGGGGGCTCGATGCCCAGTAGGGGGCGTGCAGGAGGCGCCGATGGACATTGCTCTCTCACATCAATGTTTCTACCTCTCTCCCTTACTCTCTCTCTAAAAAATCAATAAGAAACACATTTATAAAAAGAAATGTGCTTATCTTTTATTATGACTATAAAACGTTTACCTTTTTTTTTACAAGATTATGAGCCATTTTCAGTTCCTTTGCCTGTTTTCCGATGGGGTGTGTGACCCCGAGGATTCGCTAAGGTGCTTACTGCCCTCATGAGAATACACTGCCATGTGCTGGAGGTATTTTCTCCACCTCTTCTTTGCCTTTAATTTTGTTCACACCTGTTTGTTGCTTTGTGTTACCAGTAAGATGTTTTAAACACACAGGCTTCAAACTGGAGCTGGGTGTCACATGGGTAGCTGGGACTTCTGACCCGACCCCATGGCTCCTTGTCTGGGCTGCTTCTGGAACACACGTTGTTCACACCAGCTCCCTCCTCACACCTTTGGGACCTGTGGTGACTCTTGGACTGGGTCCACCCTCCTTCCAGACCCTTCCAGTCCACCCAGCGACCATCTCCTGGGCTCACCGCCCATGCTTCCTGCCACCCATCTCTCTCAGGGGTCCTGAGCTGCTCTGACCTCGATGTGCTCCTCTGCATCTTCCTGTACCTGGTTCTTGCTGCCTCTCATTTACAAGTACGAGAACCCAATCTGGATACCGTAAGCCAACAGGGGGTCTTTGTGTAAGGACCAAGGCTCGTGACCAAGCTTGCAGGGGGTCTGCAGGATGAGTGGAGCCTCTTTGGCCCTTCCCTGCCCCTGCGTGCTCTTGAGTGACAGATTTACTCTTCCCTCTTTTCTGGTTCCTTTTTTGCTCCTCAGCCCCAAGATCCTACAGGACGTTGACTGGGCTCTCTCTTACCCAGGGTTCTGAAAGAATCTGATTGGTCCAGCTAGATCAGGTGTTCACTCCTTGTCCAATCAGGAGTGTTGGGGGAGGGATTACAGAGGGAAACCATGCCCACCAGGAGCCTATAACTGTGACCCCAAGGGTCAGAGAAGAGGAACCCTGTGAGATGGGAGATGCCACCAAATGTGTTCACTACATACGTACGTTTCCCCCACTGTCTGCCTTGGCCCTTCCATACCTTTAAGCTCACAGCTTTCTACAATACAGTGTTTTCTCATTTCAAGTTAGTTCCCGTAGAAGTGGAGGTGGGAAGCTCTGCAGAGTGGCAGCATAAGAATGGCCGATTTTATGAATGCATCGCACGTGCCTCAAACGCTATTGTCATGATCTGAAGAATCAAAAGTGTTTTCACTTTGGAACACCAAACAGAGTCCACTTCTTTCTCTGTGACCCCATTGTCTTCGTGTTCTCTCTAGATAATGATTCGGGGGCATCTCACTTTTTGCTGTGCTTGCACACTCACTACGTTTGTAAGAAAAAGTGGCCCTTACTCCCAATAGACATGTCCTTCACAATGTGACTTTGTGGCTCTTCTCATTAAGAGAAGAGATCTATTTCCCCAGCCCTTGTGTGTGGACTGGCCTGTGACCTGCACTGGCTGGTAGAAGGTGGCAGAGGTGATGGGTGCCAGAGCCAAGTCTAGGCTCCAAGATGCCTTCATGTTTCTGCTTACCTGGGAACCCCGTCTAGCTGCTATGCGACACAGGTGTCTTAATCATCTTATGTCACTTCAGCCAAGAGCCAGCCAACTGCCAGACACCTGTGTGTGAGGCCATCCTAGACAGCCAGCCTTCACCCAACCCACTGGCTACTGCAGGTGCATGAGTGACTCCAGATGTGCTTGGCTGGACAAGGCCAGAGCCACAGAACCACCCAGCTTACCATCCATAGACTCGTGAACAATAGTAAGTGGTTGCTGTCAGTCATTAGGTTTTGAAGTGGCTTGTTACACAGCAATGGCTAACTGATACATTCACTTTCGGCTCTAAATCCATGCCATTTCATGTGTTGGGTCTTTAGACCCTCAGAGGACAAAGGTGTGTCCTACCTGCCTCTGTATCTACCACAGCATGGAGAGCCACACTTAGCTGCTGTGAAATTTCAACTATGTCACTTGAGTAATCTTTGGAAGAGAAGAGAAGGCCCAGGGAGGAGTAGGAGGAGGTAGGGCAGAGGGGACTGTGAAAGATGGGGCATGTGATAATTGTCTTCTTGTGTCTCTTCCATATTTGTCAATATGTGTCCAAAGGGCAGGCCGAGGAACAATGCATACATTTTGTGGGGAAGGAGTGGTTGGCACCACAGAGAGGGAGCTCATCTTCTAACCATCCAGATTCAATGAAGTAGAAATGGGTTAATGAGGGTAATGAGCTTCCCGGTATCAGAGGTGTCCAAGCAGAGGCTGAGGAACTCACTCCCTCTTGGCAGGGTGGGCAAATGTTGGGTGTAATTTTAACTGAGCAGTCAAGACCTAGGTGGCTATGAGTCTCGTTCTGTTGCTCTGTAGGCATGAAAAGCTTCTAGAGTCCAATATTTGATTGTTCCAACTGGTGATCTGGACTCTCACAGCTGCAAGGGACAGGGAAATACTTTGGGCCCCACTTTTGGTTTGAAAACACAAGGTCCCTGCCTTCTTTGAGGTTCTTTATCTTCTAAGTGTTCAGCCAGGGCTTCCCCATCCTGCAAGTCACCCAGTCCCCGGAAGGAGGGGACCTCTTCCCAAGACCTTTCTGTCACCCTCCTCCCCTCCAGCTGCCCCGACCACACACCTCCCCACCCTGGAGCCCTATGACAATATCCTCAGGGGACTCAGGTGGGAAGCACCTCCCTCCCACCATGTTCCTTTCCCAAACAGGCCACCATACTTCACCAGACATGTGGGTAATGTCTAAGAAATATTTAAACAGCGTGATGTGGGGTTTTCCTCGCAGGGGCCCTGTGCACTCTTCAAAGCCCTCAGTTGACAGACACTCAGGGAGGCAGTTGGAGCTCAAAGTTCCAAGGGTGTGGGACCTAACGGTGATGATTCTAACGAAGCCCTCCCACCCTGCCAGGAGACCAGGTCCCATCTGTGTGACCACTGAGGAGCCCAACTGTCTCCTGTTTTGACAGCCCATCCTGCCGTTGTCCGCGTTACCATTGACGCGTAGTAGGCAAAGAACAGAGCTTCTGCTTGTGTTGTGTTTTTGTTCCCTCTGGGAGAGAGTGCAGAGCAAAGGTCAGTATGTAGGTCTCAGGGTAGCTCTTTAAAGGATTCCCAGGAAGAAGAAGCACAGGATGGTGAAGGGCCCTGGGATGGAGTTTGAGTTTGAGGAACTTGGAAATAGAAGGAGAAAGGACCTGGGAGCTTTCAATCTTCCATCTTGACATCTGGGTTGGTGTTCGTCAACCCTTAAGAAGCTGCCGATGTGAGACCTCCTTGAAAAGACTATGAGGCTTGCCGAGGTGGATGTCTAATTCATCTTCCATTTTTAGTGCCTAGAAAAGAGGGAGGAGAGCCTACTTAACCAAGCACATTACTTATTTATCACTGTGTATCAAATGACCCTAAACGTAGCCACATAAAATAGCACCCATTTCTTTTTTTTTTTTTTATCCTCACCCGAGGACACTTTTTCTTTCTTTGTTCAGATAGAACAGGAGGGAGAGAGAGGAAGGGAGAGAGAGAGAGAAACATCGACGTGAAGGGACACATCGAGTGGCTGCCACCCGCACGACCAACCAGGGCCGGGGACAAACTGCAACCGAGGTACATGCCCTTAGCGGGAACCGAACCCGGGTCTCTCCGGACCGCAGGCCAACGCTCTAACCGCTGAGCCAAACCGGCCAGGGCTAGCACCCATTTCTTATCGCGTAGTTTCTGTGGGTCAGAGTCCAGGCATGTCTTAGCAGGGTCCTTTGCTTGGGGTCTCATAAGCTGTACTCAAGGTGTCAGATGGCTGCATGCTTTCTGGAGCTCGGTGCTCTCTAAGCTCATGTGGTTGTTGGCAGAATCCAGATCCTTGTGGTTGTAGGACTGAGGCTCTCAGTTTCTTGCCACACAGCCTCCTCCATCGGCAGCTTACATCACGGCTGTTACCTCTCAAGGCCGGCAGCAGAACTGCTTTCTCCACTCTGCTAACACAGAGTCTGATATGACATAATTTGGTCATGGGGGTGGCTTCCCACCACCTTTACCATACTCTGTTGGTTAGAAACAAGTCAGGGGTTGAGCCCACCCTGAAGGGGAGGGGATCATACATGATATGACCCATTGGAGGTCATCTTAGAGTGTGTCAACACACCAAGTAGTTTACAGATCTTGTTTGTGTCCAAAGAGCCTGAGGAAGAGATGGCAGAATCAGCAATAGACTCCAATGAGGATCTGTCAGAGGAAACAGAGGACCTGGAGCCTCTGGAGCCAGAGGATGGTGGTAAGAAAGTCACCCACATCCTTGCGTTTCTGTCCCATCTTGGCCACTAATTCCTTGAGGGCAAGTCCCAGCTGAGGTCTCAGTTTCTCCATCCATACAGTGGACAGGAAGGTCCCTGCCCAATCACAACACAGATGGAGCTAAGGCTGTGCAGGTGTCGGGGAGGCTGGGGCACAGGGAGCACCTCCTGTCACGGTCACCGCAGCACCAAGCTCGTACCACCTCTGTCTCAGGGACTTTCCAACAAGTCACAAACCTCCTCAACATCATGGACAGCGAATCCACAAAGACGGACACTGCCGGGGCCGTTCCTAACATGCGCAAGACACTGGCCTCGGTGATAATCACGGAGAAGGCCACCACCGAGCCCTGTGTGGTGATGAACGCCCTCATCCGCTGCCTGCAAGTGCCAGAGGTAGGGCGTCCTTCGCTCTCCGCCGCGCCCTGAGCCTGGCCACACCGGCTGCCTGTGCGTCCATCCACCGCTCAGCACATGTGTCCTGACTGTCGAGGGTGCAGGGATAGGTGCTGGGGTATGGAGGTGGGCAGGACTGTGAGGCTCTTGCTCTTTGAGGACCTACAGGGAGCTGGGGCTTTGATAATTTTTAAAAGCTCCTTTGTATTCTGACCCAGTGGGTGTGGGAGCGACCATCCCAGAGAAGAGCGGAGGGTGGAGACGGGGGAGGCAAGGACACGGCAGACCCAGGGAGCAGGGTGTGGGCCAGTGGGGAGACTGTTTCGCGGGGTCCGGAGGCTGGGGTAGAGGGTGTTGAAGGAAGTGGTGGGCAGTGTGACGGGAGATCATGGTGGGCCTTGAATGACAGGGCAGAGATTGGACCAGCGCATGAGAACCCCCTCCCCGAAAGTTCCTGGTTCAGTAGGTCTGGGGTGGGGGGCTGAGGAATCCACATTTCTAGCAAGTGCCCAGGTGATGCTGCTGCTGCTGGTGTGGAGACCACACTTGGGCAACTGCTGGATTTTAGACTGTCCTGTAGACCTTGGGAGTGGGTAGCACAGATTTTTACAGGGGTCCTCTTTAGAAAGTTGCATTTTATAGAAAAATGTGTGGCAGCCATGCAGGAGGTGCCGGATCTGGGAGCACAGGCCAGGAGCTCTCTCTCACAACAGGCCTCCAAAATGCAGGTGTAATAAAGAGTTTGTGTCGTTTTCCGAGAGAGGAGGGAGAGGGAGGGAGAGAAACATCGATCAGCTGCTTCCCACGTGTCCCCTAGTGGGAACCATGCCCGCAACCTGGGCATGTGCCCTGACCGGGAATCGAACCAGCGACCTCTTGGTGCCAGTGGGTCGATGCTAAACCACTGGGCCACCCTGGCCGGCCCAAAATGTAGGTTTTATTATTATTCAGCTCTGGTGAGGCCAACAGCTCAGGAGACGACTGCCTTTGAAGAGACAGTTTGTTATGCACAGAGCCCACGTGGAGAAGGCTGGCCCTCTGGAAGCAGCGGGCTCGGCCAGAGGCCCAGGGTGCGAGGGGAACACGGGGGCAAGAGTCCGTATTGTGCTTCCTGTGGGGCAGGGTCGGCCGAGCAGGCTGAGCAGCCTTAGCATTGGCTGGCTTGCACAGTGGGAGTGGCTCTGGCTGTCTGGCACCTGGCCCTGGGGTGCTTAGGGCCAGGCGGACAATGGCCCGGAGAGTGAGTTCGGTGGTTGGGTGTGGGCTCTGGGCTGGTCAGTTTGTATCTGAAACGTGTGCTCATGGGTGAGCTGTTCACTCTGTAGGAATTGGCTAACCTAGGAGGGACAGTCTCCACAGGGTCAGCAAGACCCCACGATGTCAAAGCATCAGGAAATGAGAGAAGTTTAAAAAAATCACGATTAATACCCAGGCTATAATCAGGGATCAGTGGTCAAGAACAGACAATACTCAAGTAGGCATATTTTCAAGTTAATACGTGTCAAAGATTTTAGTTATTCACTAATTATCGAGGGAACCAGTAAGATGTTAAGATGAGAATCCTACTTAGAGAGAAAACGGCCAGACAAAATTCATTTGCGTTGCAACAAGCGAGAATTGTTGTCCTCGCTACGGAGGAAACGCCGGTTTTCTACAGCTCAGCCTCCCTCTCCAGGGGACAGTGCCATTGCCTAGACCGGCCAGGGTACAGGCACCCCCCAAAGGCCTCTGTACCCCGAGCGAGCGGCTCCCCTGGGAGGCCCCCCAGTGCCTGTTTCATGCCAGTTTCCAAATCCTGGGCAATTTTTCTCTTGTGCCCATAAATATCCTCCAAGGATTTATCTCGATCCTAGAAAAGGCCGGTCTTACTACAATCTGCCTGGCCCTTTCGGTAGGTTCGGCGAGTGTTAGTTATGCACGTAGGCCTCTTCGAGTTCACTTTGGAAATCTAGAGCAGGTATTCCCGTGAATGGGGGGCGATACTGCCCTGCAACAGGCAAAACTGGGGGGTGGGGGTGAGGAGGTGGTGGGGGGCGGGGGCCTGAACATCTTGCTTTTTTATGTACCAAGCACAGAGATATATACAGCCCACGAACAGGCAATGATGAATTTGTGGTATTAAGGTTTTATGGAGATTGACTGGGGGGAAATGTCTAAGAAGACTCCTTAGGGAGCAATAAAAGAAGGAGCAGGTTGAGGACGCCTGTCCGGAGCCTTGTAGTGCTGAACACTCTCCTGCCCGGGGGTCTCACCAGGGGCCTCTGGCTGGCTTCTCACAGGCTCTGTGACTCCCGGTACCAAGACTGAGGAAACAGGCCAATACTCTGCACCGATTTCACTAGCAGAGCATATAAATGTGGGTGAATTCCTCTCTTCTTGAGATCCCCACATTTGTTAAGGTGTCTGGACTGTGGGAAGTGACCTTCGTAGCCTTTGTGGGACGAAGCTGTCTTCCCAGGAGGCTTTGCAGGCAGTGGCCCACATACAGAGTCAACCGTCATTGCTTGGGGTGGTGGCTCCTCAGACCTGAACGAAGGAGTGGTTCTCACCCCGAGTCCCCGGTGTGGCCCAATCCTGTCACTGACATAGTGATCAGTGCTATTTAGGAATCAAAACGGGGGCAGAGGAACATTTCCTGGTCTCCGTGGTCCCTCACTAGGGCAAAGGGCAGGGCAAACCCACCTTCTAGGGCTCTCAGTTGGGCCAGTGGCAAGCCTTGAGGACCGCCGTGCTGACCATTTGCCCCCCGCCTTGCTGAGCGAGCCAGACGGCAAACAGGCAGAGAGCCGAGGTGCAGGCCACGCGACAGGGCCCGTCGGAGGAGGCGACGGGAGGAGGGCAGCGGAGGCCGTGGAACGGGGTTGGGGTCTGAGGCCCAGGCAGCCTGTGGACGGTGGGCGCGTCCCGGGGTGGTGTGTCACAGGAAGAGTGGTGAGAAGGGGAGAAGGTGCCGGTGTGCTCGCAGGGCTGGCTCTGGCCCTGGCCCCCGCCCAGGATCTTCCCGCCTGCCCTCCTTGTTCCCCAGATTTCCACCCAGCGGACAGTCAACATCTACAACATCCTGCAGGAGATCATTCAGCAGGAGGGCGAGCTGGAGGAGCAGTGTGTCCACAGGCTGGTGGCCATCGCCTCCAAGGAGATGAGGGAGATCCTGGAGGTAGTGGAACTTGGCACTGTCAGTGCCCTGTGCCCCGCCAACCCAGGGGCCGAGCCGTTGGCAGGCGCGGCCTGCGATGCCCGAGGCCCTTGCCCAGTCACCTCCCAGGGCAAGGACAGGCTGAGCCCAGGGGGGCCCAGTGGGGCTGGAGAAGGTGCAGAGCAGGAGGGTTTTGAGGGTCCAGCTGGTGGTGACACCACATGGCCCTCTCCTGTCTGCTCAGGTGGAGGGTTACACGAAGGCAGAGGCGGCCAGTGACACTCTGGTGGCCCTGTCCCGAAACCACTTCAGCGTGGTCATGTATGAGATGCAGCACCACCTCAGGCCCCTCGACCTCACAGACGAGTATGTCATTGTCACCCTGGCGAAGCTGGCCAACGGCAACGGTAGGGGGCGTGCGCCCTCCACCCCCTTTCCGGCTGGCCCAGTGCTGCCTCCGGGGCTCTGCGCCCCTCCTCCCATCTCTCTCTTCTCTTCTCTTCTCTGGCATGCCTTCGGCTCACTCCTCGGGGCTCCCTCTGCTGCCAAGCTTCTCTCTGCATCTCTGCTCGCGGTTTGGTCTCTATTCCTGTCATTACATCGCCTCCAGGTCCCTCTCCTCGCTCCTTCTGAGGCTCCGTTCCTCTCTGTCTTCGTATCTCCCTCTCTCGCTGGATTTCCTTCCTCTCACTCCCTTTCCGTTCATCCCGTACGTAGGCACTGAGCTCCGTGCAGGCGTGGTGGGGGGCTCTGGGCCACAGCTGTGAATGAAACATGCGTGGGCCCTGCCCTCATGGGAGGCCAGAAACAAGTGAACAAGACAATAAGTGACCCTAACGTGAGGCGAGGGTGTGCAGGGGACAGCCAGGTTGCTTGAAGTTGGATGAGGGAGAGGACCTCATCTCTGTGGGGTCCGTACTGAGGCCGTGGTACTTCAGCTATGACCTGAAGGAGGCCACGATGATATCGGTGAAGAGTGGGATGCACTGGGAGAACATCACGTGCCAAGGCCCTGAGGCAGGAAAAGGCTTGGCTTCTCTGAAGAGTTGGGAGGTCCCTGTGGCTAGAGGTGGAGAGCGGGACGAGATGGTGTCAGACGAGGTCGGACAGGCCGGCGGGCTGCGCGGGCAGAGTCTGCATGAATCTGACCAGAAGGCTACCGAGGGCTTTCAGGCTGCAGCTGCCTGTTGACACTGAGCTGTCGTGTGGATGGAGATGGGGCGGGACACGCGTGGAGGTGCGGTGACGGTGGCTCGGGCTGGAGCGCACTCGGTGAGCGGTGGACATGGGGTTCGGGCACGGGACCATGGGGGGTTGTGTGTACGAGGTGAAGCAAGAAGGACGCCCACGTTCCCGGTGTGAGCAACACGGTGTGCGGGTGTTACTGTCCGGAGGTGGGAACATGGAGAAGGAGAACTCGGGGGCTCAGAAGGAACCTCGTTTGCATGAACTGAGGTCCCATTCCTCATGGAATAGCTAGTGGGGAGCTGACGTGGGAGCTGATGCGTGGATGCCGAGTTCAGAGGGCAGGGGTCGCGGCCCTTCCCACCAGGGACCTCAGCCCGCAGCTAGTGTTCAAAGCCACGGCCCCGGGTGTGAAAGTAGAGCGAAGAGCGGGGAGGAGCCCAGCACCGAGAAGGCTTAGGGGGACCCTCAGAACTGGGGGGGGTGAGAAGGGTGTGGTGTCAGGGGTCTGTGAAGACGTTGGTTCAGAAAGGGCCCAGGGGCGGCTGTGTCCCAACTGGCTGAGGGTCCACTAAGAGGAGGCTGGAGAAGGCTGTGTGGCCTGGAAGGGTTTCATGGCCTGTTGGAGATGGAGCCTGCGTGGGCCAGAGAGCGGCGGGGGGGTGACGGCAAGGAGGACTGGCCACTCGCTGTGAGATGGCAGCCAGGGGCCAGGGAGGGCCGAGGCCTGCGGACAGAGGAGCAGGTGGATGGGCAGGAGGAAGGGGCCCAGCCAGGAAGGAAAGTCGGAGGAGGCGTGCTGGTGGGGGTGGGGTCCCCTTCCCATTCCTACTTCCTGTCTCTATCTGCCCTCCTTCTCCTGCCTGCCTGTCTTCCTTCAGTCCGTCTTCCTCACTCTCTGTCTCTCTGTTTCTTCGTTCATCCAAGAACGTGTGTGACACCGACGGGAGCCAGACATCATTCCCAGGGGTGGGCGTGCTCTGAGCCCACTGTCTCCTGCCTCCCACGGCTCTGTCCCTGCTCTCTTGTCCCATCTTTCTGTCCCACCCCCTTTCCCGTCTTCCCTTCCCTTCACCCACATCTAGCTGGCTCTTCATCTCACATTGACTTCCACACTATTTTCCCAGGGCACCAAGGGGTTCCCTGGCTCGGCACTGCTGGATTGGGTGTGGGGGAGATGGGAGGTGTGGGTGGCTGGTTGTCATCTTTGCCTTCTCCCTGCTGACTGCTCCCATGACCTCTCCCCACCCCCACAGTGTTTGAATTTATGCCCTACATGGGCATCACCCTGGCTACCATATTCACGATGCTGAGACTTGTCAATGAAGCCAAGATGCGCCAGGTGATCTGTGGTGGTACGTGTCCTGCGTGGGCCTGCAGGTCTGGCCTGATCAAGGTGCTGGAGGGGAAAGTGGAGTAAGAAGTGGGTGGAGGGGTTGTTGGACCAGAGGTGGGTCGTTCATTTATTCTCAAACGTTTGCTCAGTCTGCTTCTTGGTGTGCCCTCAGATTGGCTCTTGGGGGTGCAGGTGGCTTAGAGGGAGGAAGCTGTCCCTGTGACTCGGTTTAGCTTGCTCTGTAGTTAGCTTTTCGAGAGGAGACCAGAGCAGGACGATGGGGTTCCCAGGGGATGGAGACCAGGGGGAATGTCTCCATGTTGGGCAGATTTTTGATGCTGTTTACATCTGATCTCTGTGCCCCAGGTTTTAAGTTATGTCATGATTTCCTGGTCCCCAAACCCCTGACCCTGAGAAAACTGGGTTTGCTTCTCTCTGCATTGGAGCCCCTAGGATGTGGGTAAAGAGTTCTATCCCAGCACCACCCTTGACCCCTGCATGTGAATGTCAAGGGCTGGGGCCTGGACACAGTTGTGTGTGGAATGCTCATGCCTCCCTGCGCCCCCTCTCCTGCCAGGGGGAGTCTTTCACGCACAGGTTTTCAGGATAAAAGTTAGGGAGCTGTGGGTGGCTGGAAGGGCAGGAGGGGAGGGATGCAGAGGGGAATTTTCTAGGCTGTCTCTGGCCATCTCAGCAACCCGCTAGCTGTGGAGGGGGGGAGCCCTCCCTTCGCCTGGAGGAGGCGCCTGGGAAGGCTGGGTCCTGCCTCCTGCCCCTCCGGGCTCACCCTCTCCCCACCGTAGCCATGGAGACCTTCTGTGAGACAGTGCAGTTCTACCTGAGGCACCTGGAGGACAGTGTGTACCCCGTGATGACTGAGGAGCAGTTTGCGATCAAGCTGTTCCCAATGTATCGCTATTTCGTGTCCGTGTGGCTGAGGAGCTACAACCCAGAGGTGAGAGGCTTTCTTCTCAGGGGTCTGCCTTCCCCCAGGTAGTGGCTCCCCAGCCTGTGGGGCTAGGAGAGCCGAGAGGCCGCTGGGTCCACCCTCATTCCCAGCGCCCCAGAGAGATGGTGACTGCGACCTGACCGATGGGCCCTGGCTCCCCGGAGGCGTCTGGGAACCAGGAAGGGGCCTGGCAGCTTCTGGACGGGTCGTGCTGTGTGGTGTGGGTGCCCTCTGCGCCCTTCACCTGCGGGAGCTATTTCCAAGCCACCTTTGTGCTGTGAGGGTTTGCAAATGAGGGAAGGGAGAGGCAGAGAGGTTGAGTAGCTGTCCAAGGTCACCTAAGTGACGGACCCAGGACTCCTGGGGACAGCTTGGCCTCATTGCCCACCTGCGGAGCTTCGGACTCGACCCTACTTCTAAGGTCCCTTCTGTCACGTATCCTTTTTCTTTTTTAAATTTTTTTTTCCTTTATTGATTTTTTAGAGAGAGAGAGGAAGTGAGGAGAGAGAGAGATGGAAACACCGATGAGAGAGAACATCGATTGGCCGCCTCCTGCATGCCCCCCACTGGGGTTCGGGCCCACAACCTGGGCACGTGCCCACAACCTAACCAGTGACCTCTTGGTGCATGGGTCAACGCTCGACCACTGAGCCACACCAGCCAGACCTGTCACATATCCGTGACTCTGTGGACAGGGCTGATGTCGCTGGTCCCTGCTGGGGGTCCTGGGCCGAGGGGTCCTGACACTCCGCTCCTACGGTAGGTGAAGCTGGGGGTCATCAAGTCCCTGAAACCCATGCTGAACTTGCTCCTGCCCAACAATGACTTGCGGGAGGAGGTGTACGACTACGTGCCCCTGCTGCTGGCGGAGTACCAGGGGGGGCTGGAGGCCCTCTTCATCACACAGGTGCGGGCTGAGCGGGCGCCGCCTGGGCTGCAGAGTGTCCCCGAGGGTCTGGGGTGCCGCCTGGGCGGAAGGTGGGATATTTGATATTCTGACGTCTGACAGCAGACCCTACACCTGTGCCGTACGAGGAGCCACGGGGCCTGGTGCTCCTAGGGTTTTCTGGGAGGGAACTCTGCCATTCCAGGGGGGAGGGGCGAGCGCCCAAAGGGTCTTAGAGCCACGGTTAGGCGGTGACCTTTGTATAGTTTCCTGGGGCTGCTATACCAAAGAGCCCCAGGGTGGTGGCTTAAAACAAGAAGAGCTTATTCTCTCAGAGTTCTGGAAGCCCGCAGTCCAAAATCAAGGTGTGGGCAGGGCTGCGCCCCTTCGGAAGGCCCAGGGGACGGGTCTGGCCGCCTCTCCCGGGGTCTGGGTCCCGGGCATTGATTGCTTGTGGCAGCATCACACCAAACTTGCCCCTCACATTCACGTGGCCTGCTTCCTTGTCCCTGTTGCTGTGTCCTCTCCTCTTCTTATAAGGACACAAGGCACTGGACGTAAGGCCCACCCTAGGTCCAGGGTCACCTCATCTCTGGGTCCTTAACTAATTCCATCCGCAAAGTCCTTATTCCAAATAAGGTCACATTCCCCTTGGCGGACGTGAATTTGGGGCCACATCTTTCAACCCATGACAGCTTGTAGCCCGTGGGAGTGGGGGCGTGGCCCGGGCTGACTGACGCCTGTTGTAACGCGGTCTCTTGTCTACACACGAGTCGTGGTCCTTAGCCAGCAGAGCAAAGAGCTGAAATGCACGTGGCGGATTTAGGGAGCCACCTGCACATCCTTCTGGCTAACGAGTGGGACTCACCTCCAGGTGACTAGGAGAGAAAGGCGCAGGTGGCCTTGAATGTTGTGCTTGGTGGCCTAGCACAGGGTCCCCCAGCTTCACTGAGCACTGGAGTCACCTGGGGGCTGGCTGGAACGCAGGGTCAGTTGGGTCAGTTTGCTGAGAGGCTGCATTTTTAGCCACACTGAGCAGCAAAGGTCTAGGGTGGGACCCTGGTTGGTAGAAGGTCACTGGACGGCCACCATGTGCCCGTCCATTGCAGATCTTGAGGCAGATCCTGGAAGCGTCGGTCATCACCAGCACCCCCATCCCCCAAATGCAGCTACACACCATTTTCACAGAACTGCACATCCAGGTGAGGGCGGCAAGCTCGGCCGGGCATGGCATTCTCGGGGTGGGTCAGCAGGATGCGGGCTAAGGCAGGTGACTGACCAGGGCCACGGGGGCACGGTGGTGGGGGCCTCGTGTCGCTCACGGGCATCCACGTTGCGCTGCGTGGCTGTGATCTCATCCACCTCCCTGCGTGCCCCTCCCCAGGTGTGCGCCAAGGCCCCCGCCCAGCAGCAGTGCAGTGGCCAGAACGTGAGGGAGATCGAACACTGCTTCATAGCCCTGGGTGAGCTCTGAGCTGGGAGGGGGAGGGCGGGGGTGGGGGTGGGCACTGCGGCCTCCCCTCCCCGGCTCAGCGGGAGAGACTCACCGGGCCCTCCCCCCGCAGCCCGCTCCTACCCGAAGGAGCTGATGAAGTTCTTCCTCAGACAAATGGAGCTGAGCAAAGAGGCCATCCGTGTGGGGACCCTGACCCTGATCAGGGCAGTGGTGGGCGCCGATGGTGAGCAAGGGCAGGAAGGCGGCTGGGGGCCAGGGAGGCGTGTCTCACCCACGTCTGGGCCTCTGTCACTTACTCTTGTGTAGACACTACTGGGTGGGAAGGAGCCCACATGCTCGGCGGCTTCACGGTCTCTGTCCTTGAACTCAACCAGCACCGCCGCCCGTCTTTCCCACCCCAACCCTCTCCTCCAGCCCTGAGCCCCAGCTCCCACCTGCGTCACATTTCAAACTGCTAACCTGAACCCTAGAGCAAACCCCACAGCTAAGTCAGAGGTGACTAGAAAGCTTCACTAAGTCGTGCAGTTACAGCCCTGAGGCCTCTTTGATCCAATGCCCAACCTCGGTCTAAATCCCTGCTACAAATCCGTAAGCCCACACGCTGGCCTTGATATCAAAGGGAAATACTGTTCCCAACCAAGGCCCTGAGACCTCACCTTTTGAGCACGGCGCCCCCTGCTGGCAGCCTGCAGCGCTGCGGGGACATGACCCTAGCAGAGCCTGGGTGGCTTTGGTTCAGCCCTTCACCTGGGTGTCCCTGTGCAGGACACGGACCGGGCACCTGTGTACCCAGCCACTTCTGCGGACAGTAAACCCCTCTCTGCAAGAAATGCGAGCTTTAACACCAATGTGGCCCTTCTTACCTACCCCGTGGGCGGAGATGGTAGTGACTAGAGTTGGCCTGGCCATTTTTCTGTAAAACGTGATGGTAAAAATATTTTCAGGGCCCTGGCCGGTTTGGCTCAGCAGTTAGAGCGTCGGCCTGCGGTCCAGAGAGACCCGGGTTCAGTTCCCGCTAAGGGCATGTGCCTCAGTAGCAGTTTGTCCCCGGCCCTGGTTGGGTCGTGCGGGTGGCAGCCACGCGATGTGTCCCTTTCACATCGATGTTTAAAAAATGTATATATATGTTTTCAGCTCTGCAGACCACACAGTCCCTGGAACATTACTCAGCTCTGCCTCTGTAGAGCAAAAGCAGCCACAGCCTGCAGAACATGGCTGGGTTCCAATAAAACTTTATTTACAAAAGTAGGCTTTGGGCTGGATTTAGCCTCCGGGCCACACTTTGCTAATCCCTGGTCTAGAATAACAGGAAACAAGCCTCTTATATTTCTTTGACAGGGGTGTAAATTGATAAGGAATTTTGAATGCTCAATTGGATAGGGACCAAATCAACTTTTGGTCAATTGTCTGAATGAAAGAATTGCCCAAAGGTAATTGGACAACAATTTTTATGACCACATTGTGCATAAAAGCATTAGAAACAACTTAAATTTTTTCTATGGAGAATTTTGTGGAATAAATGATAGTAGACCCACATAATGAAGTATTATACAACCATCAACGGTGCGGTCAATCCACACGTTTTCACGGAGAAGCTCCCTTTCATATATTAAGTGTAACGATGATGCCATATGAGACAGCATCTGTAGCATGAGCTCAGCTATTTGAAAGAAATTTATGTTTGTTTATGTATAAATGGGTTTAGAAGGACACAAACTGTTGAGGGATAATTTTTTATTTTAATCTTACAATGAACATACACTTTTTTTTTTATCCTCACCTGAGGACATTTTTCCTTTTTTTTTTTTTTTTAATCCTCACTCGAGGATATTTTTCCATTTTTTGTACAGATAGAGTGGGAGGGAGAGAGAGGAAGGGAGAGAGAGAGAGAAACATCCACGTGAAGGGACACATCGAGTGGCTGCCACCCACATGACCAACCAGGGCCGGGGACAAACTGCAACCGAAGTACATGCCCTTAGCGGGAACCGAACCCGGGTCTCTCCGGACCGCAGGCCGACGCTCTAACCGCTGAGCCAAACTGGCCAGGGCGCACTTTTTTTTTTTTTTTTTTAAGGGTAAGGGAGAGAGACAGAGAGAGAGAGAGAGAGAGAGAGAGAGAGAGAGATCAATCTGTTGCCTCTCCCGCGTGCCTCCACCGGATCGAACCTGCAACCTTTTGGCGAGTCCACCGGCTTCTCCAGAAGCACGCGCCAAGCAGAGGCCGAGGAGCGAGGCACAAGCACGTTGGCCCTGGGCCCGGGCCAGGTGGGGTGTGCCGGGCACAGGAGACGGGGACTCTGAGCGAAGCGCCCCTCCGTGTGTGGCTGGAGGCTGTGCCGTGGACAAGCCACCGGCTCGCTGGCTCCCTGTGGCAGGTGACAGGCAGGCCTGTGCAGGGAAGGTGAGCTCCTGCTGCTCCAGCACCTCCCGGAGCCCACCCGAGGCCAGCGGCCCTCCCGCCTGGGTTTCCTCTTTCAGAGCCCAGAATGAACCTCAAGACCATCTGCCTGGCCATCCGGGTGGTCAAGAACTCCATCTCCGACACCCGCTCCAAGGTAACAGGGCAGAGGCCCGGAAGGGGGTGGCACTCGGGGGTCTCCTGGGAAGCAAAGGGGAGTCGGGCAGCGGCCTTCTCCTGACAGCGGGGCCTTGGCTCCTCTCCAGCCCTGTGGGCAGAGGCTGCCCACACCGGTAATGCCCTTCGGCAGAACACCGAGTAGGGCTGGAGGGGAATGAGGCCCATCGAAGCTGCGGCCACTCTCTTCTCACCCTCAGTGGTCCCCATGGTGCCAGCGAGGGGTCTCAGACACGCCTGGACAAAGGGCAGGCAGAGGGGATCCAGGTCGGGTCAGAGATGCCAGGCTGTCCAGGGGTGCGTGTGAACCTTGCACCCTCCAAATGAGGTGTCCCCTGCAGCCACGCCACCTTGGAATGCAGCTTTGGTTCTGGCCTCGGGCCCTGGGGGCTGCTGCCAGTGCCCAGGGAGGGGAGGGCCGAGGGGAGGGCCTGCACCGGCGAGAAGGCAGGCAAAGCTGTCTTCAGTACCTGGAGGCTGGCGGGGGAAGAGAGAACGGGCTTGCTCTGTGCTACCCCACATATGAGCTGGGGAGCCCCAGGATAAGAGGCAGGTTGTCCCCTGAAGACGGAGCTGTCTACACAAAAGGGAGTGCACTCTCTGTCTCTAAATGGCCCAGAAGAGGCTCCTGGGCGGGCATGCTGCAGAATGGGACCCTCTGGGTGAGGCAGGGGTAGGGGACTGAGTGGGCAGTGGCTAGGTGGTCCTGAGGCCCCTCCCAGCCCAGAGCACTTCCAATTCTACTGTCTCATGTCACGGGATTGGGGTGTTAGATGCCAAGCCTCCCACCCTGGAGTCCACTCCAACCCCCAGCGTGTCCGCGGTCCTGTCCCCTCAGGTGAGGATGGCTGTTCTCCGCATCATTGGCCAGTTGGCTCTGTCTGGCTTCCAGGACAGGATCAAAGGCTGGGGTCTGAAGTATGTGTCCATGCAGCTGACCCTGTCCACCTACAAACTGGTGAGTGGCCCTGCCATGCAGACCATGGAGCAGCTGACTTTGGGAATGAATGTACCTAGCTCGAACCTGCATGCTCATGCGTCCACGACACAAGTGTGCAGAGTTCACCACAGGTGAAGACGGTAAAGCCACTCGGGCGGGAGTCTAGGAAACACAGAGACACTCAGAGCTCTGAGCATCCTGGAGACTGGGTCTCTGGGCATCAAGTCCCACAGGGGTGAGGACACTACACCCAAGAACACAGCAAGCCCCTTGCCAGCCCCAAGCAGGGACCCCTCGGTTCTGCATTCCAGACGAATCGCCGGGAGAGCTTTCATCAGAGGGACCTGGAGGAAAAGATGGTCCACAAAGTCACCATGGACACCGTGAAGATCATAACGTCTTCTGTCAGTGGAATGACCAACGTGAGTGAGCCCCACTCTCCTGCCCACTGGGCTGGCACTGCAGCCAATGGCTCGTGTCTGCATGGCTCAGGCTCAAGGGAATGGTGCAGGTCCAGACCTCTGTGCTGTGGCCGCCTGGGATGTCTGAGGGCCTTGGTCTTCCAGTGACCCGAGCTGTAGTCCTTCAAGATCTAGTTCCAGAGCCAGGTGCTTGATGGGAACATAAAGCCCCCAGATATTAGGGCAGTGGCTGGCACACAATAGGCCTCAATATGTATCAGTTGGCTTATTGCCTGAAATGTGTTTGTTACCTTAAATCCCTTTCAGTCCAGGTATGTGTGTGTAAAGAAATTATTTTAGTGGTTTAATTCCACAAACATTTGATAAGTTCCTACTCTGCGAAAGACATGAGGGCATACACCAAAAGGGCTCAGCATGACCCCAGCGAGTTCACAGGCTTAAGGGGAAATAAATGTGTCAACTTTTAATTGTAATTCACTGTGACATAGCAATAAGATAGGAAAAATGTACCATGCAGCTCAAGGAGGGTATCATTTTCCATTAAGTGAAACCATGGGCTAGATGCCCCTGATCAGTGGCAGCTAATCTGAAAAACAGAAATAATGAGAAGAACAGTGATCTCTACAATTGACTGAGCACCTGAATATAGCAGGTACTATACTAGGTATGCAACATGTAGACTCTCATTTAATTATCCCAATAACTCTATGAGTTAGGGTCTCTTATTATTACCCTGCTTTTGTAGATGAGGAAACTAAGGATCAGAGAGACATTCATTTGCTCCAGGCTTTGAATCTGGTAAACAGTGGAGCCAGGATTAAAATGCTGTTTCCAGATCACCAGGATGCCTCCTGGGGGGACCCAGGAGCTGAGGATTCTAGTCCTGGCAGCTAGAACAGCTCAAGTGACTGCCCTTGTTAGTTGGTAGCACAGGAGCCTCCCAGGGGTGTGGAGTGAGGCTTAGGGGGACCAGAATTAGCAGGAGTGTCCAGTGATCATCTAAGGAGAGGGGCGATGGCATGGAGAAGTCGGTGGGCTAGAGATACAGCTCTAAAAATCTGTATCAGTCAGCGTTCCCCAGAGAAACAGAACGAGGACACACACGCACACACAATTTCAAGGCATTGGTTTATACCATTGTAGGGGTTGGCAAGTCTGAAATTCGTAGGGCAGGCCGGCAGGCTGGACACTCAAGTAGGAGCTGATATCGGCTGCTGTCTGGAGGCTGATGCTGCTGTCAGGGAAACTGAGTCTTCTTGCTCTCAAGGCTCTTGAACCGATGGAATGCAGTCCAGCTGCTGTCTGGAGGATCATCTCCTTTACAGACCCTGGGCTTCTGTCACATCTACAAACCCCTCACAGCCACGCCTAGATTAGTGTTCGCTCGAACGACTGGCTACCCTCGCCCAGCCCCGTCGGCACGTAGAGCTGACCACAGCTGGCAAGCACGCGCCAGCGTGCATGAGTCGTCTGCCCCGTGCACCTCTACCGGGTTTGGGGCCGAGGGAGGGCACTGGACGAAGAGGAGGTGACGGGTGTGGGGGTGGTAGGAGGTCAGCAAGGACGGGAATTGGTCTCCCAGGACTCGCTGGCTCCCTATGCTGTATCGGGGGGTGCCACTTAGACAGCCCTGACAAAGACGGGGTTGGCAGCAGAGCCCGCGGGGCAGAGGCTGTCTGTGGGTGGGAGTCAGTTCTGGAAGACTGCGGCGAGGCCCACACTGTGTGGGAGCCTGACTCGTCTCCTCGAGTGGCCATGGAACGTCCCAGCGAATCCTGGCCCCCTCTCCCCACCAGGAGTTTTGGGTGAGGCTCCTGTGCTACGTCATGGAGACGGATAACATGGAGGTGTTGACCCCCATCTGCGTCAGCCTCACAAACCTGGCGGAACGCCAGTTCCACACCACGGATGTGGATGCCAACTCGGCCAGCAAGAGCAGGCACGGTGGGCAGCACCCCTGCGCCAGCTGATGGGATTGGGCAGGTGGGCCGCTCCGTGTCTCTGAATGTTCCCCCTCCTCCAAGAAGCACCCCGAAGCCCAGACAGCCGGGCCCAAGGCCTGCCCTTGCCTGACTGAGGAGCTGTTAACATTGGGCAGACTTCCCCTGGCAGGGCCCTCTGCACGCCCCCTGCCCCTGCCCAGACCTTACCCTTTGGAGGTCCCAGCGCAGCCTCTCCGCAGGGGTGTCCTCTCTGGGCTTCTGTAAGCCAGGTGGAGGAACTACAGAAGTCCCATCTGAGTCCTCTGAAAACCACCCCTCTGTGGTTCCCGCGACAGCGCGCTAAACATCAGACTCTCAGACAGCGACTAGGTCCACCCATGTGTAGGATGATACTCCATTCCTAGGGGCCTGGGGCTTTGTTGGTGGGTGTGGCTGACAGTGGGGGTGATTTGGGGGCACCCTTTAGGACTCAGGGTGGAGCAAAGGGTGGAGCTTGCTTTGAGCAACCATCTAGGCCACCCCCTGAGGTCTTCTCATGCCCCCAACCCCAACATCCCTCTCCTGGGCCCTCTCCTGGGCCCCTCACTTGCAATTTCCCAGCAGCCCTAGTCCTCTCTCCCTTGCTCACTGGTCCAAGCGCTGCGTTTGCTTCTTACAGGCTCATTGACTCCCAAAGCCTGCGGTTGGGGGGAGGTGGGGCGCAGGCGTCTGACTCCTGTTGGCTCAAGAGATGCCAAGGTTCACAGTAAGAGAGGAACACTCTCATGGGAGATACTGCTGTTCACTGCAAAATGGGTCCATCCTGAAAAGAGCATCTTTTAAGCTCCAGCCCACAGCGTGACTTTCTGCTCTTCCCAGGATAAGCCAATTAAAATGATGTTCTTTATGGAAAATCCCCTGGGCCAACACATTCCCCCTCTGGGGACAATGGGATGGTGTTGGGGAAGCACCTTCCAGGGTAAAGCCCACCTTGGGGACATGGGGAGCATGTCCTGGTTGGGCAAAGCGCTTTAGCAGGGGTCGGATCTCCTTCTTCCTCAGTGGACCTGCCCACGCCACAGAAGCTGCTGGCCCGTCTCCTGGTGAGTGGCTCCCCCAGGTGGTGCCCGGCCCGGCTGAGACCGCGGGCTGCGGCGCCTCTCCTTTAAGCTCCCAGTTCTCAGAGCCCCCAGAGGGAGGAGGGAGCTGGACACTTGACACAGCAGAGCTTTCTTGGTCCCTGCTGTCCCTCTCGGGTAGATATGCCAGGGATAGTGGACTCAGACCTGCCCTTGGATTCCTCTGCTCGGCCTCTGAGCAGCCTCAGAGCATCCCCAGGACAATGGCCTGCCCGCCCTCGGGAGGTGGGCTCCGTCCTGCACCCTTGTGTGGACTCAGGATGCTAATCCACGATCCACGGAAATCTGGGGTGGGGAGGGAGCTTATGGTCTGGTCCCTGGCATGGGCAGCCCGGGAGCGAGGAGCCCAGGGCTGCCCATACCAGGCAGAGCCCCACAAAGTCTCGGTTCCTCCCAGGTGCTGATGTCATCCCCCTACGAAGGGGAGGGCAGGGGGATAGCCATGCTCAACCTCCTGAGGACCCTGAGCCACAGCATTGAGCCCTCCATGGCCAACATGTGGGAGCTGGAGATTCCACTGTTGGTCAAGTACCTGGAAGGTGAGGTGTTCGAGGTGCCCACCCCAAGACATCTGCCCTCTCGGTGTGCAGGCCGAAGCATCAATCACGTGGCTTGAGCACCGGGCACCGAGGCTTGTGGTGGACCGCCACAGCCTGTGTTGGTCCTCGGGAAGGTGGGGAGGGAAATGTAGCACGCAGGGAGCCTATCTGCGGGGGGTTTCTCAGGCCAGGCTAAGGAGGTGCCCCGGAGGGGAGCAGCAGAGAGGAACATGTGTGACCCTGCTTTCTGCAGAACATACTAAGTTTACTTGGAGTCAGAAGACCTGGGAGGACAAGCTGATTCAGGTAACGAGGTAGCCCAGCTGAGGCCTGGGTTGGGGGAGAGGCGGGATGGCTAGGAGGGACCTGGAGAGGCTGGCATGTGGGGGGTTTAGGAGCCCCTAAAGGCCACATTCTCTTCTGTTAGGGGACCTGGGGAGTACCAAGCATGCCCACAGCTGTATCTACCAGCAGGGAAGGACAGAGGGCCTTCTGTTCTGGGGCCCCAGGTGTTCAGAGATGACACTCCTCCCACCAGGCCCCAAGCCACACAGTTTCCCAGGCCCACCGGCCCACAGGCCCACAGGCCCACAGGATGTTAGCACTGGACCAGGGCCTTATGAGTCGGGTAATACGGAGTTTGGGGAAGGGAGCAGGAGAAGGTGGGTGATTACTCAATGTCACACAGCCCTCCCGGAGGACTGCCCACTGATGTCTTCTGCCTCCCCAGTTTCTGCGACACTCGCTCAAGAAGACTCAGGGTTCCAACTGGAGCCTGCGCCTGGGCAAGGAGCTGAACAACCAGATCGAGAGCTTTGACAGCCCCTCCCCAGAGAAGGTTGGTCCTCACAGCAGCAGGGCAGTTCAAGCGAGGGGACTCCAGGGACGTTGCAGTGGAGAGGCGTATACTGTGTGTGTGAGAGAGCCGCTGTACCCATGACCGTCTACGGGCTCTTGGGAGGAGAAGTGGGTGGTCCAGACCAGTGGGTTTTAGTTTTTTTGTTTGTTTTTCTTTAAGAACTAGCTTTGTTGACGCTGGGGGTCTTCCCTCCCGTCATCAGCTTCCCCATCCTCCTCTCTTCACTCTCCACCTGAACTTGTCTCACAAAAGAGTCCAGCAAGCAAGGACTGAGATGTCTGAACGGGGTTTGGTGAATAGGGAAAGGGTGAGGATGACATGGAACAGAAGGCTAAAGGGGTCTGCGAGTTCTAGTTCAGCAGTAAAGAAGATAAGGCCTGGAGGAGTAAAAAGAAAGAGTGGGCAGGCGGGGGTTCGGAGCTGGACTCCCAACAGTCCCCACCCACACCTGCCAGACTGCTGGAAACAGTTCCTTACACCTGAGTCACCCAGATACTGGCCTGTGACCACATGTGTATATTTCACTATGGAAAGATCTTTATAAAACTATAAACACTGCTGAAAGAAGTCACAGAAGGTCTCACTCAGTCAATGGAAAGTATCCCATGTTCATGGATTGGGAGACAATATAGTTAAGATGACAACACTTCCAAAATTTATCTATAGATTCAACATGACCCCTATCATAATTCCAGCTGGCTTTTTTTTTTATTGTTTTCAGAGACTGATAAGCTCATCTTAACATTCATGTGGAAATGCAAGGGGCCCAGAATATCCAGCATAATTATGATTTTAAAAAAAGAACAAAGTTGGAGAACTCAAACTTTGCGGTTTCTTACACACAACCGCAGTAAACAAGACAGTGTGGCATGGGCATAAGGGCAGACATATAGATCGATGGAACAGAACTGAGGGTCCAGAAATAAGCCTCACATTTACTGGCAATTGATTTTTGACAAAGGTGCCAAAACAGCTCCGTTGGGGAAGGAATAATCTTTTCGACAAATGGTTCTAGGTCAACTGCATGTCTCCCTGCAAAAGAATGAAGTTGGACTCCTTGCGCACACCACACAGAAAAACTTGAAATGGATCCTAGATGTAAATATGAAAGCAAAAACTATAAAACTCTTAGAAGAACACATAATTTTAAATCTTTGTGACTTTGGCTTGGGCAAAGCCATCTTCAATATGACACTAAAATCACAAGTGATAAAAAAAAAAAGAATAAATAAATTGGGCATAGTCAAGACTAACTACTCTTTCACTGAAAATAGTAGCATCAAGAAAGTGAAAAGACACCCCATGATAGAAAATGATATACAGTATTTGTAAACCAAGTTCCTGGTAAGGGACTTGTATCTGAAATATATAAAGAACTCTTATAACTCATTAATGAAAAGACAAAAGAGCCAGCTAAAGGATCTAGATAGATAGTTCTTAAAAAAGAGGCACAATACCAAATAAGTACATGAAAACGTGTTCAAGATCATTACCATTAGGGAAATGCAAATCAAAACTGCAGTGAGATACCACTGCATACACACAAGGGTGGCTATAATAAACAAGATCATGACAAGTGTTGGCAGATGGGAGACAACCGAACCCCTATATACTGCTGGTGTGAATGTAAAATGGTGGAGTAGCTTTGAAACACAGTTTGACAATTCCTCAGAATGTTCAATAGAGTTAACGTACGACCTAGCAATTCTGCTCCCAGCTATATACACCCAGGAGAAAGGGAATCCTACGTCCACACAAAATATTGTAAATGTTCATGCAAGCATCACTCGCATGGCCAAAAAGCGGAAGCAACTCAAATGCCCATCCCTGGATGAATGGATAGACAAAAATGGTACGCCCATTCAATGAAATGCTATTCAGCTATGAAAAGGAATAAAGTACTGATCTGTGGTGCAAAAAAGAATGATCCTGAAAACATGCCAAATGAAAGAAGCCAGATGCGAAAGATCACAAAAGACCACATATGATATAATTTTATTTACTTGAAATGTCCACAACAGGTGTCTCCACAGAGACAGACAGCAGGTTAGGGGTTGCCTGAGGCTGGGGAAAGTGCAGAGTGACTGCCAGTAGATATGAGGTTTCTTTCTGGGACGACAGAATGTTCCAACTTAGACTGTGATGATGGTTACACAAGTCTGTGAACATACTATTGAATCTGTAAACCTGAAATGGGTTAATTTTATGGTTTGTGAATTGTGCCTCAATTAAAGATGTTTTTTAAAAGGTTTTCGTAGGTGTCAACCAAAAACTGTGTTTGTTCAAATATATGTCCTTTCTGTGTGAGTATGTAAAATGACAAATAGTAAAGTATGTCTCACAGATACCTTCTACAGCTAAATACTGTAGATTTGCATATTTAAGGTCTTATCAAATGTCAGTTGAAGGCCAGATGCCCATTTGAACAAAAGTTGCATATAGTATTTAATAAGCAAATGCATATAATTTAACCATATTATAATAACTCACCCAGCTAAGGGAGAGGAAATAAATGAATAGGATTTTATTGGCCCAGATAACTTTAAAAGACACAATGACATAAAGCAGCTTAAGTAACTACATCAGGACCCTCCTAAGCTCTTCACTGCTAGACTGGCATCCTTTAGGTGGGGCACTACGGCTATCACTAGCCCCCAGATTTATAATCCCAGTAGATAGAGTCAGTCTCATCCCAAAATTAACATGCAGAAATCATTATCTTCCCATATACAAATAAAACAAAAATACAATGTAATGAAACTAGGTCCTATTCAAAGGCCCAGTGCAATGTAAAATATATAATCAATATATAGTCAATCATAAAATATTAAATATGTTAAAAACACACAATTGCAAGGAGAGATGGGAGAGCTAAAAGGAAACCTAATCGAACAGATACATTCTCTTGTTCTCAGACTCAGTGTTGTAAAAGTGTCCATTATTCTCAAATTAATCTGCAACATAATGTACTCCCAGCTAAATTCCCAAACAAAGACTTTGTGGAAATTTGACAATTCTATGAAATTTGACAAGATTATTTCTAAAGTCATCGGAATGAAAAAAAAAATGTAAGAGAATAGCTAAGAATATATGGAAAATGAAGCAGATTAAGGAGGAATTTACTGTCTCAGAACAATCAAAGACTGACTAAATAAAATAAAACTGGGGAGCAAGCAGAATACACAGATGAATTTTTTTTTTTTATCCTCACCCAAGGGCATTTTTCCATTTTTTGTTCAGAGAGGGGAGGGAGAGAGAGAGAGGAACATCGATGTGAAAGGGACACATCGAGTGGTTGCCACCCGCGCGACCCAACCACGGCCGGGGACAAACTGAAACCCACGTACATGCCCCTAGCAGGAACCGAACCCAGGTCTCTCTGGACCGCAGGCTGAAGCTCTACCGCTGAGCCAAACCGGCCAGGGCCATAGATGAATATTTTTATAATCTTAACATGGAATAGGCCTTCCTATGCATGAAAAGAAACCAGGAAAGACAAATGAAAAAACAAAAAGACACTTTTCTCTATGACGAAACAAAATTAGCACAAATGAAACCAAGAGGGAAACGAGACGGAAACCTGCCGTTGAAAGCGACCCGCCGGGGGAGTCGCTGCTGAGGTTAAGTGAGCCTCAGGCAGGGCTGGCTCCCACCCGCCTGCCTTCTCACCTCGCAGGACAGTGGCTGTACTTACCTTCTACTTACCTTCTTAACCTTCTTGATTAAGCGAGATAATATATGTTTGTTGCCGCTATTTCAAATCCACACCAAGTTCTTACAAATAAAAACAAAGTAGGAGGATAACCAAGCAGAAAGGGGGAAAGAAAACAGACAGGCGTTCACAGGATGGACCCCGAGAATACGCACAGTAAGCAACACGAGTAGTGAAGAAACAAATGAAAATCCGAATGCCCCACCTCTCACCGGTAACGTCCTGTGTGCGGGACAAGGTGGGGACACAGGTCCTCCTGGAGTGGTAGGTGGGAGTGGGAATCGGTTCAGTTTGTACAGGAGAGACATCTGGCCCCACTGTTTACAATATGCGTGCCCTTGCACATACAGTCTAACCACCCCTGAACATTTATTTTTAAAAATGCACAAAATGCATAGATATCTGCACATTTTTTAAAAATTCAGAGGACTACTTAGCAAACGCCCCACACAGCGACCCCTGGAGGGCAGAGTAGGGAGGCCTGAAGCTCCCTTTGTCCTCTGCCTCTCTAGAGCTTTCTGTACCGGGCCTTGGGCTTCACCTTGGCCACAGGCCTGGAGGCCGAAAAGGTGGAGGTGTTGCTATTGGAGCTGCTGTACAAGACGGACTACAACAAGGACTTCGACCGAGAGGTGAGGGCACCCTGCAGCCCCTCCTATCCGCCAGAGCTCTCCAGACCCTCAGGGGATATGGCGTGTGCATGCACCTGTGTGTGTGCATGGGTGCATTCACATCTGTGCATGTGTGTGCCTATGTGTACACTGAGGGTGCACACACGTGTGCATATGCACACATATTCATGTGTGCACATGCATACGTGCCTGTATGAACATACATGTACCTATTTGTGTATGCCTGAGTGCATGCACGTGTGTGTGTACCCGTGCGTGTGTATGCATGCTTATGTGCATGTGTGTATAGGGGGCTCCTCCTCTGCTCCCTGTCTGCCCCCTCACCGCAGCTGACTGGGTCTCCATGCAGGGCGTGATCCTGTGCTTTGGCCTGTGTGCCCAGGGCCAGGTGAAGACGGTGCTGAGCGTGCTCCAGGACTTCGAGGAGAGGATTCAGGAGTCGGAGCAGTCCTGGCAGATCGGCGCTTGGCGGGTAAGGCTCCCTTGCTCCCCAACCAGGTCTCCGGGGGCCTCTTAGAGCGACAGTGCTCTCACCACCCAACCAAGGCTCTTACCGATCACAATAAGGAGCCCCCTCCTCTCGCCTCCCCCAAAATGCCTGAGATCGGAGGCTGCCTCCAACGGAGCTTTTGCTGTTGGGTATCTAAAGAACACAGGGGGGCCTTCCCAGGACCCAGATATTGCAAAGGAGTCCTAGCCCTTTGCTACTCATGATGGGGGTGCCTGGGTGCTGGCTGGCTCTGCAGGGTCCCAGGCCTCACCCAGGTCCACTGGGTCTGAAGAAGTGAAGGCGGCTGGGATGGCATAATGCCCACTGTTGTGTGGACGAGGGCAGTGAAGCTTGTCCAAAGGCGTGTGGTTGCCCAGCGGTGAAGCCAGGAGTTGGACCCAAGCCACTCATGACTGACCTCTGGCCCAACTTCCTGATGCCACAGGTTGGCTGAGTCCCCAGCGGGCAACCATCTGGAGTCACTGATGCCTCAGGCTTTGACCTTGACCTGGACGCTTGCCCTGGGTCTGGCTGTTTAGATGGAAAGTGTCTCAGCCTTCTCCAAAGAGCAGGACCTGGGGCCTGACTTTTTATTTGCAGCCTGGCAGGGCTTGGGAGCCCTCTGCCCTACTTCCACGGTGGGTTTTGTGGTCTCCACCTCCTCCCAGGAGAGCAGGGCTGAGGCTGTTTGTTCCTCCTGGGTCCCCAGCATCATGAGAGCCAGTAGGAACAGAGAAGGGCCTGGCAGGTGGAGGCACCAGGCTTGCATAGCCAGCCTCTGCTTAGGGCAGTCTGGCCCTGCTCTGACTTGCTGCACCCAGGGCTTAGCGTGTAGTATGTGCTCAATAAAACTGTATTGAACACATGAATAAATAAGTAAATGAGTGTTTGAGGCCTCTTCAGCTGACTCAATGGCTCTTAGGGTCTTGTGACCAGGGACGATCGGCAGGCAGCCGGGGCAGACCCTGCTGCCCGCAGAGGGGCAGGGTGAGCACATCACCCCCACCCGGTGTCTCTCCCCGGGTCTCGCTGGCCGTGCAGAGGGACCACCCCTGGAGGCGGGAGGCGGTGAAGAGCGCCCTCATGGTGATGTACAGCTGTGCGGCCCTGCACTGCCACTGGCAGGCGCTCCTCACCCACGTGGACACCCCCATCACCTCGAAGATCATTCACCACTACACCAGCAGCTCCCAGGTAACCCCGTGAGCCGCCACCCACATTCAGTGCCTGGGGGACTCCTCCGTGAGCCAGGCTGGCAGTCACCCTGCGCCCCTCTCTGGGTGGTGATGAAGCCAGGAGCTGGACCCAGGAGTCCCCCCGACTCCCAGCTCCTGGGAGGCCCATTGCCCCAGCCTGTGTACTTCTCTGCCGCAGGAGGAGGGAGGGGGGAGCTCCTTCCCCAAGTGCGGGGAGGGGTGAGCATGGGTCCCCAGAAGTCACAAGATGATCCCCCCTCTCCAGTCTCTCCACCTCCTGCGATCCTCACCTCTGCCCCTCACCCCAGACACCTGACCCTAGGCCTGTCATAAGGGACAAGATGTGGGGTTGTCTTCAGAAATGCAAAGGGACTAGCTACTGTCTTGGAATAGCAAGGAGGAGAAAAACAGAAAGAATAGAGCAAATATTATTTTATTCTTATTTTTTTAATTGTGGTAAAATGCACACGACATACAGTTTGCCACCTTGACCACCTTTCAGCGCATCACGGACCTTCACATGGTCGTGCACCCATCACCCCAGCCACTCCAGAGCTCCTCCTCCTGCAAAACTGAAACTGCGCCCACCCAGTGGCTGCCCACCCCCACGCCAGCCCCTGACATCCACGTTCCTCGTCCTGCCCCTGACTGAGTGCTCCAGCTTGCTCACCTAGGTGCCATCACCCAGCATCTGTCCACATTTGTCTGGCAGAACTGCCCTCGAGATTCATCCCGTGCCCGGCCGGTGTGGACCGAGCTTCCTCCCAGGACTGAGAGGTCCCGGTTCGATTCCCGGTCAGGGCACAGGCCCGGGTTGCGGGTTTGATCCCCAGTAGGGGGCGTGCAGGAGGCAGCCCATCGATGTTTCTCTCTCATATCGATGTTTCTATCTCTCTCTCCCTCTAGAAAATCAATAAAAGTATAGTTTTAAAAAAAGATTCATCCTGTGAAAACAAACAGGATTTTATCTCAAGAACTGACTCTGCCTCCCCGGCGACAGGGCCTGGTGCCCTCGGCCAGCGCTGCCACCCCGGGCAGAGGCGAGGGGGCCGGGCCCCGGCCCGCCATGTGGCAGGTGCTCTGTCATCGGTGAAGGACAGAACGAGGTCGCCGTCTCTTGGGGGGCGGAGGGGGCACGTTCTTAGGCAGCTGCAGGTGTGAAGGCCGCGGCTCGGGCCCTCGGGCTCACTCACCACGCCTCTTTCTCCCCTTCGTCTCGGTCTGGGCGCAGGACATCTGCCTCAAAATGGCCTTCATGAAGAGTGTGGTGCAGGTCACCCAGGCCATCGAAAACCTCAAGGACCCGGAGGGCTTTCAATTTGCCCAAAAGACGACTCTTACTGCCATTCTAGTGGTACGCCGGGGTCCCGGGCCCTGGGCAGTCTGGGGGTCTAACTCTGCCGAGCTCCTGAGGGCGTCCAAGGGGCAAGGGGGCTCTAGGATCTCTGGGCCCCTTTCTGTCTCAGCTCTTTGATCCAACTGTAGGGGTTCTGAGATGATACCACGTGCCTGACAAAGCATTTCGCGACCAGGGAACAACCGGGCGCTGTGTGCCCCATGTGGCTGGTTCAAGGCCGGGACACAGGGCCACTGGGTCAGCCCCACTGTCGCCCCAGCATTTCTCCGCGGGAGGGACCTGGGGGGAAGGATCAGCTGCAGGCAGGGCTTAAAGCTACTTTGCACAGAACTCTGGAAAGATCTAGCAGGTGTCGACTGCCCAAGGGCGAGAAGCAGTGACGGGGCTGATGGGGTTTGCGTGACGGCCGCTGTCCCTGGCGCAGACGTCCGCCCTCCCTACGCGCCTGGGCCTGGACACGGCTGCAGCTGTGCTGGAAGCCGCTCGGGAGGGAAGTGGGAGGGGCTGGGACAGGAGGCAGCCAGCAGGAAGCGAGCGTGCCCTTGGCTCCTGTCTGGACCAGGAGCTGTGCGCCTGGAATTTCACGCCAGTCCCAGGGCACCGAGTCCTGTTTCATCAGTAAGGGAACCCGGGCTCAGGTGGGGGAAGCGGTCTGTGCAAGGACGCCCCTCCAGGAAGGCAGATCTGAGCGGGAAGCACATGCCTACCTCGAGCCCCTGCCTTCCACCGGATTTGCCCTTTCCCCGAAAATGTCCAAGGCTGAGTGATCCGGCACTGATGCTGGGGATGCTGCCACCTTCAGGGCCACTGTGCGTTAAGGGCCCCTGTCCTACCTGGCCTGGGCCCGGATGGCTTGGCAGCCCACTGCCCTGCTGTGCCCGGCAGGCGATCATCAAGGCGGAACCGAGCGACAACCTGGTGTCTCCCGTGCGCAGCATGGTGATGGATGCCCTCTCGCATCTGAGGTGAGCTGCGCCCCTGCCTGTGTCCCGGCACTTCCCCTGGGTCGACAAGACATCCGGAAGCATCCATCCCGCGTGCTCGCGGGTGCAGGGCCGCCTCCGTAGCCCGGTCCTGGGTGACAGCTCCGAGGGCCATGGCCATCCTGGCCGATGGGAGCCGGCTTCCACCAGCTCTCCCCTGCTCCTCGACAGCTCCATGTCTCCTTGGGTGGGAGGTGACTGGGAGGCGGGCAGGCTGGTGTTTGGTCCATCAGGAGACGTTTTGAGCAAAAGGTCACACAGTGACACTGAATAACCAGCAGGGAGATGGCCCCTTCCAGCTGGGTTGGGCTCAGTCAAGGAATTTATTTATCCACATGGTATGAATACCGTTCATGCAAATAGTAGAAGTAATAGACTGTCCGAGGTTTGCCTTCCTGGGACTGTCCACCTGGCGGTGGGGCGAGGAGGAAGGGAAGAAGCTGTGTTTGTAAAACCCGTGTTTGAAGAGGTGGGTCCTCTAGGAGTCCTCCCAGTGGGGCCGAGTCATCACTGGCGCTCACAGCAGAACTGCCCGAGCTTCTAGCGACACACACTCAGGTGTTACACACACTTCACAAACATCCCCTCAGGGACTTAGAGGGAAGGCGAACACATACCCAAGGAATTAGAGGTCAGTGTTTGTAGGTGAACAACAATAAAAAATCTAAGGCCAGAAAAAGGGGGCTACTGGCAAGATGCAATTCAGGTGCTAAACAGGGGCTAGAAGAAGGAGTTGGCAAAGGGAGTTTGCTGTCTGACCTGGGCTTAAACAAAACAGGGTGTGGGTCGGAGCTGGAAGCTTCCAGCAGGATGGGGTGGGGTAACAGTTTATTAAAATGAAAGCTACTCCCGCCCTGGCCGGTGTGGCTCAGCGGTTAGAACGTTGGCCTGCGGTCCAGAGAGACCCGGTTCGGTTCCCGCTAAGGGCACGTATCTCGGTTGCAGTTTGTCCCCGGCCCTGGTTGGGTCGTGCGGGTGGCAGCCACTCGATGTGTTCCTTTCATGTCGATGTTTCTCTCTCTCTCTCCCTCCCACTCTATCTGAACAAAATACCAAAAAATGTCCTCGGGTGAGGATAAAAAAGAAAAATGAAAGCCAGTCCAAATCCTGGAGGCACAATAGAACCCATAGGGAACTTTTAACAATACAGCTACCCTGCACCCCCCCACACACACACCCCAGCTTTAAATTAGGATCCCAGGGACCTTACAAAGCTCTCCAGGTGATTCTAAGATGCACCGAGGCCTGTGATGCATGGATAGAAGGAGATGGGCCAGATGCACTCGAAGCAGCTATGGGCCACCCTGGAAGGCTTAGCAAAACACAGATGGCTGGCTCCGCCCCCAGAGATTTTGGTTCAGCAGTTCTGAGGCGGGGAATTTGCATTTCTAACGAACTCCAAGTTGATGCTACTGCTGCTGGTCCAGGTGTCGTACTTGAGCCCTGGGCCAGGACCAACCCGGGAGGTAGAGTCCACGATGTGGTGGGGGAGGAGCAGCGGAATGTTCCGAGCAGGAGATGGACGTGGTTACAGCAGGAGCCGAGGAGGAGAGGTGGCCCCGGACCCCTGAGTCTGCCCCTCAATCCCAGACAGTCACTGAACACTGATGGCTGGGCAGAGCCAGGGCCCGTGGGGGGTGTCCCTCTGAACCCCCAACCAGGGAAGTTGGTCTCTCTCGATCTGTGACATGCCTCCCCTCCCTAGACTGGGCAGTGGGCCCCAACTCCACTGACCACCCCTTCTGTCACTTTTTCTCTCCCTAGCAAAGTGAGGCCTTTCTACTCTGCAGAGGAAAACAGTGAGCTGATGGATATCGGTATACATTCTGTCATTTCTCTCCAGCCCCCAGCAGAGGACAATGAGTCCATTAAGGTAGGTCCCTCCGAGCCTCATTGTCTGGGTCAGGACCTGGAAGTCGACTTTAACATGAGTGGTGCTGAGAGCCCACCATCTTGACCCACCCATCTGTGGTTGTGAAACCGAACAGCAGGTGGGTCTGGGCTGCCTGTCACTGTCTGAGCCAATTAAGCAGAGACAAGGTTGAATGGTATATGAGCATTTATTCCAATATTGCCGGCAGTTTGAGAGAGCAGCCAGGCCATCCCTGAAAAGTCCGCTCTGCACTCCCTCCATGGCCCGCTGCTTGTGTTAGTATTACGCGGGGAAGTGTGCAAAGGGAACACCAGTGGGTAAGACAATTACAGATTACAGGCACAGGGAAGTAATGGGAGCTGGGGAATGTGGGCTGTCTCCAGGGCACCACCTCCAAGACTCCAAGGTTGTTAGTCTTCCCGTGATGGGCTGGGCGCAGCTCTCTGGTAAGGAGAAGGAACAGCATTCCCGAGGTAAACTCCCAGGGTGAACAGCCAGGCCAGAATGGGCTTTCTTTAATCAGAACAAAGCAATCATAATTCACAGAGCAAAAATGTTCAACATTTCTTACATCTACGGCTAGCACCCCACAATGATAAGTTCTCCATTATTCAATTAGAGGCAGCAAAGTGTAAGAGGCTCTGATAGTCAGTGTAAGGTGATGCTAGCTGCTGTAATAGATAAACTCTGAGATCTCTGTGGTTTGACAAGACGAAAGCTTAGATCAAATTGGCCGTGGGGGTGGGACGGAGGGGCTTCCCGCAGTCATTCAGGAGCCACGCCATCTTCGGTTCACGGTTCCGAAGGTCCCGTGGGCACTGATACCCAGCATGGAGAGGAAGAGAAAGAGTATGGAGGATTCATGAACCACTTTGTCCACCTTCCATTGGCCAGAGCTCAGTCACATGGCTCCACTTAGATGTAAAGTGTGCTGGGAAATGTGGTCCCAGATTGGGTGGCTGTTTTCCAGGAACATTGTTGGAAAAGGAGGTCAAATCTTTCGTGGTCAAGTGGCCACCTGTGCCTCCAGGGCCTGGCCTTGGATGAGGAGTCAGGAGAACTGGGTTCTAGGAGTTCAGTTTCCTCCTTTGTGAAGTGGGTTCCTCTTAAGAAGATGACCTGGATGTCACGTGAGAAGAAGAAAAAAGGGTGATTATCACACCGGGCGCCCCCTTATTGCTGCCCAGCTCTCCCCTCTCTCGTCATAGGCCCTGTACGCGAACGCCCTGCGTGCCCTGGAGCAGCTGGTGGAGGCCCTCATGCAGAGGCAGCTGGACCCCAAGGGGCTGCAAGAGATGGTGCATGTGAGTTGCCTGGCAGAGGGCCAGGGATGGCCACCCCTCCCAGAAAGCTGTCCTGAGGGCCAGACTCTCTGTGGGAAACAGGGGTATGAGTTATACATGGTTCTGATAATCTTATTTAGATATATTTTCAAATTTGCTGAAAAGTGACAAATATAATAAAAACAAACATAAAAAAACTCTTATATACCTTTCACCCAGATTCACAATTCTTACTATTTTGTCACATTTTTCTCTTTTCACACACACACACACACACACACACACACACACACCTTTTAAATCATAGACAGTTAGTTACAGACATTAAGAACAAGAATAGCCTCTTTATTTTTTTAATCCACCCAAGAATATGTTTTTTATTGATTTGAGAGAGAGAGAGAGAGAGAGAGAGAGAGAGAAAGAGAGAGAGAGAGACATCGATGGGAGAGAAACACCAATCAGTTGCCTCCCATCTGCACCCAACCGGAGATCGAACCTGTAGCCTAGGTATGTGCCCTGACCAGCAATCAAACCTGCAAACTTTGGATGTACGGGATGACGCTCCAGCCAGCTGAGCCACCTGGACAGTCTCTTACATAATGATACAATGATCAACATCAGGAAATTTAGCATGAATACAATGCTATATTCTAATCTATTGTCTATATTCAGGCTTCACTGATTGTTCCAATAATGCTCTTTATAGCTCTTTCCCCCAGTTCAGATGGAATCGGAGGCAGGCATGGCAATCGCTTGTCTTCTCCCTTCACGTCCTTCAGTCTGGAACAAGTCCTCAGTCTTCGTATTTTGTAATCTTGGCATTTGTGAAGGGTACTGGTAGTTTTTGTTTGTTTGTTTTGATTAGGTTGTTTGCTTTCGTATTATTGAGTTTTCAGAGTTTTATGTTTCTAGACACAAGTCCTTTATTAGTTACGTAATTTGCAAATATTTTCTCTCAATCTGTGACTTGTCTTTTCATTAATTTCACAGTGTCTTTGAAGAGCAGACACTTTTAATTTTGATGAAGTCTAGTTTATAATGATTTTTTCTTTCGTGGGTCATGGTTTTGGTGTCATGTCTACGAAATATTTGCCTAACCCAAGATCACAAAGATTTTCTTCTAAAACAGTATAGTTTCAGGTTTTACAATTAAGTCTATAATATATATATATATATGTATTTTAAGAGGATGTTCATTAAAGCCGGGACAGTGAAATGGGAGCCAGCCTAGGTGGAGAAACGAGCCCAGCTGGGATGCTTTGTCTCACTAAGAAGTCAGAGAAAAGAGGACCTTGGGGACAGCGTCAGGGGGCTAGCCCAGGACAAGCTGCTGCTGCATTGCTGCCTGGTCACAAGCCTCGTGGGGTCCCTTAGAGTTTAGGAGAGGCACACTCGTGGGGGAAGAAGAGGGGGGAGGGAAAGGTGTGGGCATACTCCTGGGAGCAGGAATGCACCTCTGTGACATATTTTGAGTTAACTTTTGTATTTGGTGCGAGGTATGGATCAAAGTTGGTTTGGTTTTTGTGTTTTTGCACACAGATCACCAATTGCTCCAGCATCATTTGTTGGAAAGACTAGCTTTTCTCTACTCCACTGAATTACCTTTGTGTTTTTGTCAAAGATCCATCAACCATGTATGTGTGGCTCTATTCCTGCACCCTTGGGCTGCCTCAGTGATGTACTCGTCTCTCTTTGCATTGGTGTCTTCCTGTCCTGATCGCTGTGACATTATATATAACAAGTCTTAAAGTCGGGAGCAGATTGGGTGAGCCCACCGACTTCATTCCTGGCCGTGGCATCCCACGAACATTGACATGTTGTGTTCTAACTCGGTGTCAGTTCAAGATGCATTTTAATTTCTCTTTTGATCTCTTCTTTGACCCCTGGGTTATCTAGGCATTTCCAAATGTTTGAGGATTTCCCAGGGGTCATTCTCTTCTTGATTCCTACTTTAAGTCAATCGTAGTCTGAGGACGTACTCTGCACGGTTGGAATCCTTTGACGCTGACTGAGACTTGTTGCGTGGTCCAGGTGTGGCCTCCCTTTGGTGACTGCTGTGTGTGCACTTGACCAGTCTCCGCTGTGCTGGGCGGAGTGTTCCTGTGGACCAGGCAGAGCGGGTTGGGGCGGTGTTCCGCTTTCTCTAGCCTTGATTTTCTGCCTCGTCGTATCAGACACTGAGACGGAGGCGCCGAGCGCTCTGTACTGGGGTTTACGGATTCCTCCTCAGCTCTGTCGGTGCTTCCTCCTGGGTTGCTCAGCTCCGTGATTAGATGTTCGGGTGCTCAGGCCCCGGGACGCAGCGCGGGCTGTGCTGCCGGCCCCTCCGCTGCGGGCGAGCATTTGGAGCAAGGCCCCACACACTAATTCTTCAAGAGCCGTCTCGCTGGGGATGCCCACAACCTCATCGCCCCAGTAGAGGGGCCTGGGAAGAAAACCCGAAGTGCCCGGAGCCATCTAGAAGCATTGAAAGTCAGATTCTGAGTAGGAGGGGCAGGGAGGGCAACAGTTGGCCAGGAAGGAGCTGGCCCTGGGATTTTTTTTATTAATATATATATACATATTTTTTATTGATTTTAGAGAGGGAGAGAGACAGAAACATCGATGAGAGAACATCGACTGGCCGCCTCCTGCACGCCCCCCACTGGGGATCGGGCCCACAGCCTGGGCATGTGCCCTGACCGGGAATCCAACCGGCGACCTCTTGGTGCCAGTGGGTCAATGCTCAACCATGGAGCCACCTCGGCCGGCCAAGCCCTGGGGTTTTAACGCCCCGTCTGTGTCCTGGGCTCTGTCCATAGTTCCTGGAAAAGTGGATCTTGTCGGAGAAAGACTGGGAGCGGGAGAAGGCCGTGAACCTGCTCCTCCGGCTCCTGCAGAGCTACGTGCAGAGCGTCGGCGTCTGCGTGAGTGTGGGAGCACCCAGCCCCAGCACCCAGCTCCAGCCCCAGCACCCAGCCCCAGCACCCAGCTCCAGCCCCAGCACCCAGCTCCAGCCCCAGCACCCAGCCTCAGCACCCAGCCTCAGCACCCAGCCTCAGCCCCAGCACCCAGCTCCAGCCCCAGCACCCAGCCTCAGCACCCAGCCTCAGCACCCAGCCTCAGCACCCAGCACCCAGCCCCAGCACCCAGCTCCAGCCCCAGCACCCAGCCTCAGCACCCAGCTCCAGCCCCAGCACCCAGCCTCAGCACCCAGCACCCATGACCCAGCACCCAGCCCCAGCACCCAGCCTCAGCACCCAGCACCCATGACCCAGCACCCAGCCCCAGCACCCAGCCTCAACACCCAGCCCCAGCACCCAGCCCCAGCACCCAGCTCCAGCCCCAGCACCCAGCCTCAGCACCCAGCACCCAGCCCCAGCACCCAGCTCCAGCCCCAGCACCCAGCCTCAGCACCCAGCTCCAGCCCCAGCACCCAGCCTCAGCACCCAGCACCCATGACCCAGCACCCAGCCCCAGCACCCAGCCTCAACACCCAGCCCCAGCACCCAGCCCCAGCACCCAGCCTCAACACCCAGCCCCAGCACCCAGCCCCAGCACCCAGCTCCAGCCCCAGCACCCAGCCTCAGCACCCAGCACCCAGCCCCAGCACCCAGCCTCAGCACCCAGCACCCATGACCCAGCACCCAGCCCCAGCACCCAGCCTCAACACCCAGCCCCAGCACCCAGCCCCAGCACCCAGCCTCAACACCCAGCCTCAGCACCCAGCACCCATGACCCAGCACCCAGCCCCAGCACCCAGCCCCAGCAGCCAGCCTCAGCACCCAGCCTCAGCACCCAGCACCCATGACCCAGCACCCAGCCTCAGCACCCAGCCCCAGCACCCAGCCCCAGCACCCAGTATCCAGCACCCAGCCTCAGCACCCAGCACCCATGACTCAGCACCCAGCCCCAGCCCCAGCAGCCAGCCTCAACACCCAGCCTCAGCACCCAGCACCCATGACCCAGCACCCAGCCTCAGCACCCAGCCCCAGCACCCAGCCCCAGCACCCAGTATCCAGCACCCAGCCTCAGCACCCAGCACCCATGACTCAGCACCCAGCCCCAGCACCCAGCCCAGCACCCAGCACCCAGCACCCAGCCCCAGCACCCAGCACCTAGTACCCAGCCCCAGCCCCCAGAACTCAGCACCCAGCACCTAGTACCCAGCCCCCAGCACCAGCACCAGCACCAGCTCTGGCCTGGGTCCTGTCTACGAAGAGTCCCTTGGGAAGAGGCTGCCTCCTTTGGGAATGGCAATGAGACTCCTCGAGGGGCTCTCCTGGGACTCTGGGTGGGGGCGAGGGAGCGGATGGGCTGCAGCTCCTGTGGATCTAGGTTTTGCGGGACCCGAGGCTCATACTGTGGTGAGGACCCGCTCTAAGAATAAGGAGACACGGTTACGAATACCACATTGGTTAGAAAAGTGAACATTTACTTACAACGAGGAAATAAGTTACTGAATATTTACACATTTTACAAAGTTTGACAAGTACCACAAACATCTAGAAAAGCAACGAGGGGTTTCTGTCGGTTAACCGTCTGATACGGCTGGATGAGACTGCTCTTCCTACATTTGTTGGCTCCATCATCTTCAGGGACAGTCGGCCTCGGTAGGAGGACAATGGTGTCCCGAGGCTGGGGTGTGGGGTCCAGCCTCAGGTCTTAGGGCAGGACCCTGGTGGGGACACAGACCCAGGAGAGTGAGGTCGAGGCCAAGACTAATGCGAGGTGACATTTGAGGTGAGAGGCTGGATCTTCTGATGCAATTCTCCTCCTGCCCCGGAAAGAGGAGGCGCCGTTATCCTCAGACGAGGAACATGGGGCCCAAGGTTAGGTACCCTGCCCAGGTACACAGCTGGTAAGTGGGGAAGCCCACATCTGAACCCAGGGCTCAGCTATAGGAACAAGGCAGATGCCGGGACATAGAACCTGGGCCTGAGGTCAGCCAGACTCAGCTCCCGGCTGCGGGGCCTCCGGGGGCCCAACTGTGGGGCTCAGGAGGCAGAAACGTGGGCAGCAGACAGACGGTGGCATCTCCCCCTTCCCAGACAGGGGGGCGTTTTCAGAGCAGGGCTTCCCTTCTCTGGCTGCCCACCATCTGCCCCTGGGCAGTGCCAGGTGTGCACGAGAGGAGCAGCGTGTGAGCCTCGGGGTCCTGTCCCGCAGATCCCCCTGAAGCTGGGGCAGTTTGGCACGCTCGTTGGACTCATCGCCCCGTGCATGTGTGACTCCCACAAAAGAACTCGTGTGGCCTCAACAGAGGTCCTGTCCAGCCTGCTGGACTTGCACGGTACGTGGCCAGGAGTGGGGGCTGATACCAGGGCTGCCAGCTCGGGGCTGTGCTGTGGGGGCATCAGGACTCCGTGTAGACAAACAAGGATGACCAGCGGGGATGCAGAGGGGTGCAGAGTTCACCGAGAGGCCATGGAAACTTCTGGAAGGAGAGGTGCATTGGTTCTGCGTAACCCACTGCGGGCCTGTGCTGGGCACTAAGAGCCCCACGGGGACAAGGCCGGCTCCCATTCCAAGGACATAGCACAACTGGCCACAGATGAGCCGAGGCAAGAATGCAGTGCGGTGACCTTCAGGGCGGGGCAGTTTGCCTCTGGCTTGGTGGCTGGTGGGGCGTCTATCCCAGCCAGGCCTTGGAAGGGCAGGCACCTGTGTGCAGACACGGGGTGGGGACAATGAGAGCAAAGGCAAGAAGGGATGGGTGTTCAGATGCTGGGGTGTCACCCAGGCCTGCAGAGCCAAGGTGCCCTCCCCGAGGGCCAGCACAGGAGGCCACCGTGACGTAGCCTATGGCTGGCCCTTCTGTCTTTGCTGATCACGTCCGAAACTACCCCTAGCAGCAAGCCAGACCTGCTCCTCATGGGACACGTCCAACGAGCTGGAGCTCGCGAGATGTAAGGAGGACCTCCAGGCCCTGGAGGTGGAGAAGATTTTCAGTGCATCTACCAGACTAGCCAAGGTGATGAGCCAGGAAGTGTGCGTGGGCTGGCCTGGGGTGGGGCCGTGACGTCGAGCAAAAGAGGAGGGTCTGTCAGTGGTGATGGGGACTGGGCCTGGGACTCGGCGAACTTTGGGAACAGCCTGCTCTGGTTCCAGGTGGCTTGCATGCAGCTGAATTGTGATGAGGTGGTCTCGCTGATCCAGAAACTCTGCGAGAACATCGGGGCCATGGACCTCCAGCACGACAAGGCCTCCGTCACCTGGATAGACACCTTCCTTCAGATGCGGGTCAAGGAGCTGGAGGACAAGGTGGCAGAACTGTGGCTGGGCCACCTGGGGTTGGGGCTGCCCGGTGCACCAGGCCTGGAGGGACCCGCTGGGACCCAGCCGCACTTGCCGACAACCCCTCCCCAACCCCTCCCCACCCTGTCTGTAAAGAGGAGGACGCAGAGCCCTAGAATGAGAGAGAAAGGTGTGGAAGGTAGCCAGGTCAGTAAGTGGACGGTGGGCTAGGCCCGCGGCTCTCTTTCTGAGACCACGGCCTCCGGCACCAAGCACCTAATCAAGTCCGGAGGAGAAGACCAGAGAGTCTTTGGGGGAGGGGTGTGCAGTAGGGTGAGGGCAAGAGGCCCATGAGGGCCAGGCGGCCCTGGTGATGCCCAGCCCCTCCCTAGGTGGCTGAGATCCTGGGTGCCATCCTGGTCCACCTGCCCGCAGTGGACCACCTGGAGGTGCGGCGCCACCTCATTGAGGGCATCCTCCTGCTGGCTCACTACCACCAGGAGATGGTCCTCACGTCACTCCTGAGGCAGCCCCTGCCCATGCAGAGGTGGGTGGTGGGTGCCCTGGGTGGGGGTCACAGGCTGCTGTGCAGCCCAGACTGTGCCAGACTCACCTCTGCTGCTGCGTCCCCGGAGCCCGGGACCTTGAGTGAGGCCTTGTCCGCTCCTCTCCCCGCCTCTCCCGTGGGAGGTACAGCCTTTGGGGGGTCACAGACCCACTTTGTGGGTGCTAACAAGCAGCTTACGCACCTCCTGGTTCAATTTGATCTTGTGGGACTTGTCTTTGGCCCTTCAGAGCTCACCAGCACCTGACCTCCCTGGACCCGTGCAACCAGGTCCCTCAAGTCACTGCCCAGGGGCCCCTTCCCTTCCCAGCAGGACCACCGGCCTAGACTTGGGGATCAGGAAAGCCCCTTCAAATTGTGGTCTGGCAGGTTACCTGACCCCCTGGCCTCGTCCCCTTTTTTGTGGAAGTGAAGGCTGCTCCTCAAAGGTGTGCAGGGAGGCGGAGGGGGAGGACACCGGTCGGTCGCCTGGCACCAGCCTGGCACAAGTCAGGGGCACCTGGAAACTATTACCAGAGGTGTCCACAGGTCCTCGCACGGTGGGCCTGGTGGGGACTTCTGAGGTCACCTGGCCAGGGAGCTGTGGCTTGCCCAGGGTAGGTGATCAGGGCACAGAAAGGTGGCTGAGCATGGAGCACCGGCTCCCTCCAGCTCCCTGACACTCAGCCTCCAGGGCCCATCCACCACTCGGGGGGCTGCTGGGGTCCAACGAGGCTCTTGCCAGCCAGGGCACACGGCAGGTAACCCACAGTCCCTGTCCTCTGTCTTTGGCTAGCCACCTGATGGAGGTGTGGCTGGCCGTGGCAGAGAATGTGCCCTTTGCCCGGTGGGTGCTCCACGGGCTGATGGGCCGGCTGCAGTCCCGGTTCACCCCCAGGGCCAAAGCCACCTCCAAGGCCGACATCTGGCGTCAGGCTGCAGTGGACCCTCTGATGGTGAGTCCCAGGGGCAGGCCCTGGTGCTCCTTGGGGGCTCTGGGTAGGAGCCCTGGTGCTTCCTGCCCTTCTCTCTGCAGACCCTCTGCGCCATCCACCTGCTCATCGAGAAGATAGACAAGGGTGACCAGCTCCGGGACCTCTTTCCCGACCTGATCTACACCCTCCTGATGCAGCTGGGCAGCAGCCAGGGCCCGGAGGCTGTGTCGCCCATCCTCAAGACATGGAGACTCATCCACACGGCGACCCTGCCCAAGGAGGTCAACCAGCAGAGGTGCTCTCCAGGGCTGACGGCTTGGGGTGCAGGGCAGTGGGCCTGGAAACTGCCTCTCAGAAGGCACCTCCACCGAGCGGCCCTCATCATGCCCTCCTGGTGGGAAGGAGGTTTCAGGAACCTGACCTGACTACCCTCCCTGACATCTGCCCAGCACGGTGTGGTTTTCAGTGTTTGCAGACCTGGTCTTAGCCCTGGAGCTGGGCCCCGCCCACGCTGGGAGCCCAGGGCACAGACCTGGGTGTGGGGCTTGGCCCCTGAGGGGCGTGGGTGCTCTGGGCGGGGCTGCCGCGCCCTGACACAGTCCCACCTTCTTCTAGGATCACAATCAAATCCATGCAGCTGTTGTTTGAGCGGCTGGACAGCGAGCGACTGGCCCGCAGCCTGGAGCAGCAGGGCGTGTGGACCCTCCTGGAGAGCAGCTCCACCTTCCTGCAAGGGGTGGGCCTGCTGGCCAGGTGGGCGCCGCTCCCTCGGCGGCGGGGCGGGGCTGGCAAAGTGATGGCGGAACGCCCCGCTTCTGGGGACCGCCAGGTTGACCCGTGTCCCACGCCGAGGCTGCTTCTGAGCAGGGCCCGGAAGAGGGAATTCCAGGTCCAGGTCACTCATGAGCAGCCCTCATCCGAGTCCTTTTTATAAAAGTGTGATGGGAAGTCAGTACTTCAGTGACACCCCCAGGAGAGGGGGGGCCCAGAGGTGTTAGCGCTGCCCATGGGCACCCCGCTCCAGAGTTCTGCCCGGCAGGAGCTGACATGCCCTCCCGCCCATGGGCTGTGGTCCCCTCACAGGCTGTGCGCTCGGAACGTGGAGGGCCAGGGCCAGAGGCTGTCGGAGCTGGTGCTCAGGGGCATGGCCTCGGAGGTGCTCAGCTGCCGCGTCAGCAGCACGGCGTTCTGCGTGGAAGTGAGGCGCGGGTGGAGGTGGGGTGGGCTGGGGAGGGGGGTGGGTGAGTCCCCACTGTCCTGGGGGCTCATCTCAGGGCAGGCTCTCAGGCTCTGAGGGCAGCCCAGCCCAGGGGGCACCCCTCATTGGTGCATCCGTTCTCTCATTCACTCATCATCACCCCGGTAACGCGGGGCGGGTGCGGTGGGAAGGGCTGAGACGCGGCCTGTGCCGAATGCACAGCTAAGTGATGTGTGCTGCACTGAGTGTCGGCCCTGGGGGCCAGAGGAGGGCGCCTCGGGCCCTTGATGGGGTGGAGGTGCTGGGGAGGGGCGTGCAGGGGGCTCAGCCAGGCAGGGGTTATGGCCACTGGGGCCCAGCTACCCTCCCAAGCACATAGGGCACTTACGGGGTCACCCCTACTGAGAGGCCCTTGTTGTTCCTTCCTGGTGGGGAAGGGAAGTTTCTGGAAGCTGATCCAGGGAATTGGCCAGAAAACTTTGAGGAGAACCTCGGTGGGTTGTCTGATGCCCAATGTGCTGCAGGAACCAAACACCAGCCCAGTGAGGGGTCCCCAGACATGGTCTGTAAAGGGCCAGACGGTGAACTTTCCAGTGTGCAGTCACCAGCACACACGTGCGTGCACACGCCACACGCATGCCGAAGGGTCCCCATTGGCCTGATGCCCTGGCTTTGTGACAACGAGGCTGACAGTGACTCCAAGGCCCAGAGGAGGGATGGGGTGCTTCCCGGGCGTCTCTGTTCGGACCCGGGGGGCGGCTCCCACACCCGGCAGCTGCTCTGCACGCTGCCTGGAGAAATGGATGCCGAGTGCACGCGTTAACACGCGTGACGCTTCCCTGGCATGTCCCACACAGGTCCTTACTGAATCCCCCCGGCAGCCTTCTGAGGCAGGTGCTGGTGTCACCCTCTTTTCACAGACGAGGAAACTGAGTGACCCGCCAGGGCCCCGCCGCCGGCAGGTGGAGGAGTCGAGAGCGGGTCCCGGGGTCCGGGCCCCGAATCTTCTGTTCACAGGGAGACCAGCCTGCGCACGGACTGGAACCACGCGCCCCGGCTCGTGGCGGACACGGGCCTCTGTTGCGGCTGACCGCAGAAAGTTCTCCTTTCTAGTTCATGAGCGGCCCGGTTCTGTACCAGGAGAAGCTGCTGAAGCCCGCCGTGCTGCAGCTGGAGAAGGGCGTGGACCAGAGCGACGAGGTCCTGCGGGTGCTGTCCCTGCGCGCCCTCGGCAACATGGCCCTGGGCGCCCCCAAAAAGGTGCTGCGCCTGACCTTAACCCCGGGGCCCAGGGTGCCGGGCCCAGCGGGCTGAGCCTCAGTGCTGGGGTGTTCTGGTCACCCCCGGGGTCAACCCTGTGCCCACCCCCAGGTGAGGCAGTACCGAAAGCTCCTCCTGGACAATTGCCTGCGCTCCCTGAGGGACCCCGGCAGTACCAGCGTGCCCTCGGAGGGCATGGAGGCCCTGACCAAGATCCTGGCTGAGCTCCGCGAAGGGGACACAGGGTACTTCTTCAATGCCATCTCTGAGCAGTGCAGGTCCTTCTTTGACAACGTGAGTCCGGATGACCGCCTCGCTGGGCCCCGGGCCCCGGGTGGGGGCTCCCCAGGCGACTCAGGGCAGAAGGACAGCAGGCGTCACTCGGCACCGATGTGTCCATTTTTCGAACATGGGATCTTGTGAGAAAAATCTTGTTCCCAGGCCCATGGGACCCTTCTCCCTGCTATCGGGGAGTGAGCCTTCCCTGCTAGCTCCTGGCAGTCCAGATGCCCCTTGGGCCCCTGTGACATGCCAGGCGGGCACCCTGCTGGGCGGTGTGCATGCAGGTTTAACACAGCCCTCATCTGGGAGGCAGAGGTCACACCTACGCGGGCTACCCGGTCCTGGAGCCCTGGAAGGGAGGCTCCGTCCTGATGGAATGATCCAGAAGGCTGCGCAGGGGTCAAGGCATCCAGCCGGGTCCAGGTCGAACGGCCGGGCTCTTCGCTGGGCTTCTAGCTGGCCGAGGTTCCGATCCGCTCTGTATGTCCCGGCCACAGGAGAGCGAGCTGCTGCGCTTGCAAGCCTTCCTGCTGTTCCGCAAGCTGGCCAAGATGGCCCGGGCCTCCAAGAGGCGGTTCTTCAAGGGGGAGGTGAAGAGAGCCTGGGTCCCGCTCATGCTGCACTGCCTGGACCCCTGCCCCGACGCGGCCCGAGTAAGGCTCGCCCCCCGCGGGCCCCCAGGGAGACTGTTTTCTGGGCTCAGCTCCCTGCAGGCCCCCCCTGTCTCCCGGAGACCCCAGGAACCACATTCGAGGAGACAGACCCGCAAGCCGTCTTTCTGTGGGGGCTGTTTCCTTCTTCCCAGTCACCTCCGCCAGTCACCCTTCCTCTATCGTGTTCATTTCTGGGTGTCATGGTTCGGGCACGTCTAACAGTCGCCTTAAACCTGTGGGGCAGGCCTGTGGGGTGAGGGGGGGCTGACCCTGGTCTGTGACTCCAGGTCCCAGATCCTTTGAGGCTTTGGGGGGAGGAAGGAGAGGGAGAGACGCCCCTCTCCCGGTGTAACTGCCGCCCCTCAGGCTAACACTGGCTGGGGACTCCCGCCCCTCTCCTGGTCTAACTGCCGCCCCTCAAGCTAACACTGGCTGGGGACTCCCGCCCCTCTCCTGGTCTAACTGCTGCCCCTCAGGCTAACACTGGCTGGGGACTCCCGTGTAGGGAGCCTCTCACCCCACGCACGGCCATGCCCCTGACCTCTGCCTTCTCTCTGCCCTGTCTTCCCATATGGACAGGGGAGGTGGCCCAGATTAGGGACATTTCTGCAAAAAACAAGTGACAAAGATACAGTTGTGGGGATACAGCTGGCTGTCAATGAGGGGTCCTCAGCAGCTCATGCTTAACTAGGGCCTTAGTCCCCAGTGCTGAGGTCACAAGAGAAATGCCCTCCTTCCGGCTGCTGTGAGGTTGCAGGTTTGCACGTGGGGGGGGGGGGGGGTCCAGGCGGCACCCAGTGGGAGGTGGGGGAGCCCTGCAGCGCCCTCTGGCTGGGGCTTTGCCCTGGCCCTGCCTCCCTGCCTGGGCTCTGCCCTGGGGACCCTGGGGGCCTGGGGCACCTCTTGGCAACTCCTTTCCTCACTAATCCTCACCTCCGTCCACGAAGGGTTCCCCCCGTTATTTCCCGTTCATCTGCAACTGCCCCGTGGGTGGGGCTTCAGGGAAGGCACGCCAGCCGGTGACGAGAGGAGAGGTCGGGGCCCAGCATGGGATGCGGAGTACCAGAGGTGGCTGCTGCCACTGCTGTCCCTCGGAATAGATGCCCGGCCTCCCTTCCTGACCTCCAGTCTCCTGGCAGCACCCTACTGTGACCGCACCTCCCCAGAGGCCAGGGCCCAGGGGACCCGATGGGTGCAGGGCCTCTGGGGGAATGAGAAGGCTTGCCCCCGACGCAGTCTCCTAACAGGGCTGGCCCCAGGCAGGGCTGCTGAGGGCACGAAGGTGCCGGTTAGGGGGCAAGTGGCTGCACCTGGCCCCTAGGGGCTTTTAATAAATGCACACACAGCCCATTATCCAGGTCGGCGGCGGGTTCTGGTCCCCCAAATGCCCCCCAGCTTCCCGTTTTCCAGGGCTGTCCTCTGGCTTCACCCACGGATCGCAGCCTGCTCAGTCCCCCTCGCCCCGCCCACTGGTGTGAGCCCCTGGGCCCTCCTGACGCATCCCCTGCTGTCCTGCTGTGTCCCTTCAGGCCTGTGTGGAGACCATGTACCAGTGTGTGCACTTCTGGGGCTGCAAGGGCCTGGATGACTCCGCAGGGCAAAGTGACACCAGGGGCACTGAGGAGATGACCGCTTTCCAGACGACCCTGTGCTCTGTCCTGGTGAGGAAGCTGGGGGGGCCAACCTGTGGGCGGTGGCCGCCCCGGAGCTCACCGCCAGAGGCCGATCTCGCGACCCTCAGTTCACCTCCTCAGTGTGGAGAGACCAGCACTGTCCAGCAGGAGTGGACACTAGCCACATGCCCATTTCGAAGTTTTCTAATGGCCATGTTAAGAAAAGGGAAGAGATGAAATCATAGGTTTTATTTAACCCAACTGATCCGAGTCATTATTGGAACCGATGCACAAGTTACTCATTCAGATTAGCCACCTTTCAAATGCTTCAGGGCCACACATGGCCACTGGCTACCAGACTGGACAGCACGGGGTTTGGACGAATAGAACCTCTTCCCTGGTGGCAAGGATGTACTGGGGACGGGAGGTCGCCCAGCTTCTCATCTGCTGTGACGCTAGACTGGGCACCTGTCCTCTCCCGGCAGGCGCCCCTGCACCGGGCAGATGGGGGTACACTTTGTGAACAGCCAGTCTCGGGCACCTCGGCCTCCGCGGTTCAGTGTGTCACTTGCTTTTTGCAGACTCAGAAAAAGCCTGCTGTTCTCTACAGTTTCCTGCTAGAAACAATGACCTACGTGAAAAGTAACTTGTCAAGGATCAGAATCGCTTCCTGCAACTTGGCAGGTGAGCGGGCAGAGGTCTCCTGATGTAGGAGGGACCTTGAAGGCCGCGGGGTCAGGCCCAGGGACAGGTGTCAGGCCCCGAGCTCAGGCGGAGGTGCCCTGTGTCTCCTGGCGCACGGTGCCGCCTACCTGACTCTCAATCAGGCGTCAACCACCTCCTCGGCAGACCCCTCCTAGGTAAAACCAGACGTCTCGCTCACCCGATACCGTGTGACGAGCACCCTCTGGCTGTGATTTAGGGGTCATCATGAAGCAGATGTCTGAACATTACCTGAGAAAGCTGGACTTCGCGGCATTACGGAACTGTACGTCCTGGAGACTGTACCTGGGAGCTTAGTGACTGCGGGGAACAGCCAGTTGACCCTTGGTTGGGGGTTTTGGGGAGTGGCTGGGCTGTAACTAGGGCACAGATAGCCTGCCAAGGGCTTTCCAAGGGAGCCGACTCTCTTGGGAGGTGGTGCATTTATTCCGGGGCCTCTGCCCCTTCCCCCTTCAAACATTTGTACTGCCCTGGTTGTCAGCTGATCCAGGGGGCAGCCGGGGTTCTGGGGCTCCCTGTCAGTTGCAGAAGGGAGCTGAGATGGGAGATGTGTGTGAAGGCACAGCTCCAGCTGCAAACACGGGGGGTCCCACGTCTGCAGCCATGACAGCCCCTTGCCAGTCACTCCCTGGGCCTCCGTGGGCCGCGCGGGGTCCTGACCTTCCCCTTCGCGCGCTCAGCCCTCCAGGAGCTACAGCTGGACTCGGATCCGGGGGTCCAGAGGGCAGCCCTGGAGACTCTCAAAATCCTGGACAGCTGTGGCCGGCACTGGCCTCCGGCCTCACCCTGAGGAACTCCCCAGGCGGCCTGAACGGAAAACTGCCTCCTGGTGCGCACGCGCCCACAGCCATGCGGACCACGTGGAGTCTAGTTTGTAAGGAAAGCCTTGTTCTGAGACACTCAGTGTCCCTTCCCTTCTACTGAAATAAACCTCCATTGCCACGTGGGGTGCGGAGTCTTGCCTGCAAGGTGCTGTCCCAGAGCGGACAGTGGGGCAGAGGAGGACATCGGTCTCCGCGGGGTCACGTCATTCTCGCTCTCCCTGAGTGTGCAAAGGTCAGACAGGCCCTCTCGGCCCAAAGCACCAGAATCCACCCGCGTCTTCACTTGCATGTTCCATCCACGCGGAGGGTGTGCACGCCCTGTGGCCGTGCCAGGCAGACCTGCCCCAGGGACCCCTTAGGTGCTCACCAGCTGAATGTGCTACACATTCCACGCAGGTCATGGGGTCCGTTACCGGCAGAGCCTATACGTTGGCGGAGCGAGGTGCAGCCTAGTCCCTTCCGCCTCACTTTCCTCTTAGATGACAGGGCACCAAACCCGAAATCTGCAGGCTCTCTGGCAGCTACGCCTGGCTGGAGACCTTGGCACAGGCCCGCTGGGTCACAGGTTGGGGGCGAGGTAAGCACAGCAGTTCTGGGCAAGAGCGATAGTTTCCCGAGGAAAGGTCTAGAATTGCAGTCCAGCGCGGCCAGCCTTCCCGATTCACAGGGCTCTGAACGGAACCGGGCCCCAAGTTCACACACGGAAGCCCTCACCTCGCTGTGCGGGCACCTGAGATGGGGCCTTTATGATGGGATCTGTGCCCACAAGAGACGCCAGCCAGCGCCCACTCTGCCATGCGAGGACGCACGGAGGGGGCACTCACTGCAGGGCAGGAAGAGACCGCGCCAGAACCTGACCGCGCTGGCACCTGGACTCCGACGTCCAGGACCCAGAGCCGAGAGAAATACGCTTCTGTTCTTTCAACCACCCAGTCTGGAGGACTTGTTATGTGGCCCGAGCTAGTGCACAAGGGTCAGGTGGTTCCACCCGATGTGGGTGGAAAAGGGTACACGTTGCTATCAGAAGAGTGACAGCCCCGGGAAGAATGGGAAGGGAAGACGTCTACTCTTATCTGTAGTATTTTATTAAAAAATCCGTAACGCATGGCAATATAACATGGGTTTGGTCGTTGTGTCCTGAATATTTGACACATTTTATTAAAGAAGATATCCTACTACAAACAGCTCTAATAAGAGTCCCGAGATGTCACGGATGCTGTGCGGCTACAAGAGTGCGTGGGGACTGTCTCAGGAACGTTCACATACAGCGTGCTTTCCTCGCATGGGTGAATTACGTTTACATCTGCTCCCTCCCGATGGGGAGGGTACCAAGCCCCATGGGTCTGCATTTTCCCTCCAGGGATCCTTGCATCCAGCGTGCAGCCTCAGGTTTCAAAGCAAACACTTTGTCTAAGGCAATGGCAGATGTGAGAGTTTTGTTGCCATCTCTCTATGGAGCACAGAACACGAGCAAAACAGCCCTACAAAGGACAACAGTAATTTCAATTGAGCAACTTCATTCAATCATTCTAATACCAGGAACCTGTCAGTCATCTCAATGAGACCAATACCCCGAGATCTGCTCTGAAGGCATAAACTGGAGCAAGCTCTAATGCATTCTGGAGAATTGAAAACGTGCGTGCATGCACACACACAGCAAGGGGGGAGGGCAATACCCGAAAACTGGAGCAAGCTCTAATGCATTCTGGAGAATTGAAAACGTGCGTGCATGCACACACACACACACAGCAGGGGGGAGAGGGCAACACCCGAAAACTGGAGCAAGCTCTAATGCATTCTGGAGAATTGAAAACACGCGTGCATGCACACACACACACAGCAAGGGGGGAGAGGGCAACACCCGAAAATAACTTGGCTGTAGAGTTTTAGTTTCCAGTTTTTAACACAAAGTCACTTAACTTCCGTCCTGAAAGATGTGCTCTTCTTTTCTCTAGGGAAAAAAAAGACAAAACAATTTCAGTAAAACTCCACTAGAATTCCCAATGCCAGCCACCAAAAGCTTAATAGTTTCATATTTATTCCAGTGCCTATACACATAAATATCAGTGTGCGCACTGCAGAAAATGCCACCATGCTAAAGAAACACCCCAAGGAATGCTAAAAACAACCCTCAAAACAACAGTCAACGAGCAGCAGCCGAGCCCAGAGGCCGCTTTGCTGTGGAACCTGCCAGCCACGCAAGCCCGTGGCCACGGCAGTTTCAGGCTGCAGCCGAGTCTCCTTACCGACCAGGAGAGACGGCCCTGTCTAAGCAAAGGGCTCAAGGGGGTTAAGGGAGGACGGTATGAAAAGGTTCAGTGTGGCCCGGGGGGCGGACAGCGTTCAGGTGTCAGCCGTTACAATTCCTTCTGCGGTCCAGCTCACGGAGATTGGTCCTTTTCCTCAGAGTTTCATAATTAGGGAAAGAAGAAGAAAAGGACAATGATCAGCTGTTAGTGTTGTGGTTGGAGACAGAGCTGCAAAGGCCTGTCAGGTTCCAGGGGAGGCAGGAGCGTCCCACGGGCCACCGAGGCTGGTTCTCCTCGCGGCCTCCACGTCCGGGACACGTGGCCCCGGGCTGAGCGGAGGACAAGCAGGGGATGCGCGCCGGGCATCCAGAGCGCAGTGGAGGGCCAGGGCAGTCAGTAGGCGGCTGCAGGCGGCCTGAGCGTCGGGGTGTGGAGGGAGGGCTCAGAAAAGGGACCGTGAGGAGGGAAGCTGAGTGAGGAGGGAAGCTGAGTGAGGAAGGTTTCGGTTCAGACAAGTAGGGACAGTGGGACAAGGGGGTTGTGACCTGTCAGGGCTTGGAGAAGCCTCAGAGACAACCTTGGGGCTCCATCTTTGGTGAAATGGACCCTTTCAACTGAGAAACACGGTAACCCTAAGGGGTGGCGAGAGGTGTGAAGGGGGATGAGGGGTGGCGAGGGGTGGTCCGTGAGCAGACGGCACGTGCGAGCTTCATGCTCCGAGTGTCTGCTGTGAGCATGTGGCTGGACCCCTGAGCCTCAGCCCTGCAGGACTCGGTCTCCCTGCCGGGGCCTGGCTGGAAACAGTCAAGGGGCTGGGGCTGGGGCGTGGGGCAGGCAGCCTGCCGCCCAGACACAGAGCAGACGCGGACAGCGGGAGGAAGCTGCTGGACCCGCCCAGGGTGTGCCCACGGCAGCGCCGTCCGTGCGGCTGTTCCCCAGGTCTGGCTGGCTCCTGGCTGGGGCTCAAAGGCCCCTCACCCCAGGAATGGTCCTGGACGGAAACCTTTCCCCTCCACAGATTAGACAGATCACAATGCAGGTCTGCTTAATCTGCTCTAGTTAGCTCACCTAAATAAATGAAAAAAAAGATAACAGCCCTGGCCGGTTTGGCTCAGCAGTTAGAGTGTCGGCCCACAGACCAGAGAATCCCGGGTTCGGTTCCTGCTAAGGGCATGTACCCCGGTTGCAGTTTGTCCCCGGCCCCGGTTGGAGTCCTATGGGTGGCAACCACTTGATGTGTCTTTCTCACGTTGATGTTCCTCTCTCTCCCTCCTACTGTATCTGAAGATACATACAAAAATGTCCTCGGGTGAGGATTAAAAAATAAGTAAGTGGGGGTTCTAGAGCTGAGCCGCCAGCCTGGAGAACTGCGCTGTGCTTCTTAGGAGCACGCGGCTGCCTGCAGAGGTGGTGGCGAGCCAGCGCAGTCTGGGGACACGAGGACTCAACGGAACTCCCCTTGGAAGGGGAAGGGAGGAGCTGTCGGAAGGCAGGACCTGGTCACAAAGCACCTGCAGTTCAAGCCACAGGGACTGGCACCAGGAGGTGATGGCGGAGGAGGGGCTGTGGTGCGGGCATGTGCCCTGACCGGGGACTGACCCAGGGACCTCTCAATGCATGGGACGACAGTCAACCTCTGAGCCACACCGGCCAGGGCAGCACTCTAGGTTTTTGAAATATTTTTTCGAGGAGGGGAGCCACAGGGGTGCAAATGCTGAGAAACACTAGTGGGCGAAGGCAGAGATGGGCCCATGGGGGCCTGAGGGGTGGTGACAGCGACAACTCAGTGGGGGTTCATTTCTGCAAGGAAATTTACTGCCCCTGAGAAGGGGTCACAGGACAAGCAGGCAGAGATTGGAAATCAGAAAGTGGGATATTTAGGGCAGAGGGGGTCTATCTGGACGGCCACTGAGGGGCCATCTGTGTGGTTGGCGTTAAGAAGAGACGAGGAAGCCCCGGCCGGTTTGGCTCAGCGGTTGGAGCGTCGGCCCACGGACCAATGAGTCACAGGTTCGATTCCAGTCAAGGGCGCGTACCTCAGTTGCTCTTCATCCCTGGCCCTGGTTGGGGTCGTGTGGGAGGCAGCCACTTGATGTGTCTCTTTCACCTCAATGTTTATCTCTCTTGCTCTCATCCTTTCTCTCCCTCCCACTCTATCCGAACAAAAATAAAAAAAAAGTCCTCGGGTGAGGATAAGAAAAGAAGGGAAGAGGAAGTTGTATACATGGCCCAACCTGTCCGCACCGCCAACGCACACAACCCCAAACCGCCAAGCCAAACTCAGAGTCAAGGCCCGCTGGCCAGCGGCAGAGAGACGTGCCCGCAGCACAGTGCCAGGGTCCGAGCCCTGGCTCACAGACACAGTTTGGGGTCTGCTGGAAAACCTAACCCTTCTGCAACAATGCTCAACAACACAGACCTGTGCCCCCCATCTAGGCTCTGGGGAAAACCGGATCATACCGGCACATTCAACTTGAGGAAGCGACCGGCACAGGCTAAACCGCAGGAGGCGGTGGCACCGAGACTCCTGGCCGAGCAGGGGCGCGGCCCCCGCACGTGGCAGCTTTGGCCCGTGGCTCTCGAGGGCCAACCCGCTGGGTCCCTACGAGGACATCCAGAAGCAAAGCCCCGCTCTCCAGACCAGCTTCACAACACTCCTCTCTGAGCGCAGGATAGAGAGGCCGGAAAGGCAGTGTGACAAGGAGGGGTGAGTGTGCAAAGTTAGGCGTCCCACTGGCGATCGTGTAAAACTCCCGGGGAGGATGTTCTCAGCTCCACCTGATGCATCTTACCACGAACACGGGCTTGACACGAAGGAACAGAATTTGGGAGAAAGTTTAGAAAACGAACATGCACGGAAGAATCCTGTTGTAAAACCGCCACGTTTGACAAAAACTCACCTTCCTTTTCCAGTCGGGCCGCGAAGAGCTGACCTCTTCCCCTGGCCTTGGGATGGCCCTGCCCAACAGATAAGAGGGATCCTGGGACTCGGCCCACCTTCCACACACCTGGGGGTCTGATAACCGGCGTCTCTTTGAGTGGGGCTGAGGGCTGAGCTTGGCGGCCAGAGCAAGCCATGGAGATGGATGAACCTCCATGGTAGTTGAGCCCAGTGACCTTCTGATGCCCCGCTGGGGTGATGATGTCAACTTTTGGGGACGCTGGAAGCCAGAGTCTGGATTTAATTCTCCTAGGAAGTCTTCTTTTTGATTCTGAACTCGCACACTTCCTTTACCGGGAGATTCTCCAGGACAGAAAAGCGCCTTTGGCCGCTGCAGCGATTTTTGGCAATACTTCTGATGAAGCTGGTCAAATTTCTCTTTAATTCCATCATATCGATCTCTTGCAGAGCCTAGAGGTCGTACCCCAGGTACTGAAATAGCTTTGCCGAGGGACACTGACATCCTAAATATTCCTCGACGATTTCCTTGGAAAAGACCAGCGGCTGGCTCGGAGGGGCCTGGGCTCCGGGAAAGTGATGGAGAGGAGTCGCTTTTGGACAGGCACCTTCCTGCTTCTCCAGCTTGTCTGCCCAGGTGTTTGAAAGCCTCATTTAGACTCTTAGCTTTGGATCTGCTGGACGGCCTACTTGGCCGGTGGGTTTCTAGGCCCCGGGGGCCACCCGGGCTCACTGGTCCACCTCTGTGCAAGACGACACTGGTGGAGGAGCTGGGGACGTAGGTCAGGGCTGGCTGCTTGCTGGGGCTCAGGCAGTATTCCTGACGAAGTTTATCAAACCTGCTTCTGAACTCCCGATGAGGACTCCCTCCCTCGCCCTGCAGCATTCTCGGTCTGGAAACGATTTTCACAGGAGAAATTAACCACTTCAGTGCCATCAGTCTGTCCTCCCGATCAAGACCACGTGCTGCACGGGAGTCCACGAACGTCAGTGAAGGCAACTTCTGGGGCGTTCCCTTCGGCTCCTTCCAGATTTGGAGTTTGTTCACTTTAAGAAAAGCCTTTTCCAATTTGAATCCTGCCTGCTGGCCAGAAAGATCTACGACGTTCTGGCACTCTCTTAACACCCGCACCTCTGTGGTGGGCTGGGCACAGGGCAGGAGCCTGTCCTGGGGGCCCCCGGGCGCCGGCCTGCCGCCTCGGCTGTACGTCCTGTTCAGTCTGCTCTGGCGCCGGCGCCGCCCCCAAGAGCTCCGGCTGCGAACGATGAAGGTCTTGGTGGAGATGACGCACGAGGGCTTCGCGCTCAGCAGCCGGCTCATGGAGTGCAGCATGCCCTCGTACAGGTCGCTGACGGTCACGCTGCAGATGTCGCCGGCTACGAAGGACTGGCTGCTCGAGAAGCTGTCACCACTGGTCTCTCGCAACGAGACACTGTCACGTGTGGGCACGAGGGCCAGGTCTGAGGAGCAAGGGTGTGGAGACGCAGCTGGCTCAGGACTGTCTTCAGGGACACGGCCACAGTATCCTGGAGGAAAGCGCACAGGTAAAGGGGTGTCACCACTTCAAACGTCTGTATGCAGAGATCATGGAACTGAAGGCTGGAGTATGACCACGATGGTTTTTTTAAAAAGCAATACAAAAAAGCAAAAGAAAAATTTCACAAGTGTTTGGGAATAGACTCGTCTCAGACTCTATCTATGAAAACTGAATGTCTACTCTCTACCAATTTTCTCCAAAGAGTCTTCTTTCCCCACGGGACAGTCTGGAACCCGGCTGCCTTTTCAAAGACTAAGTGGGAATCAGAAAATAATGGCGCTGTTTGCCTACGGGGGCAGGAGGAATACACCCCTGCAGCTCTGCCTTCTGCACAATATTAAATGTTTTATATAGCAAACAAATAAAGTTAAACCAACAAAGATGGGATCCCTCTAAAGTTAAGCACAGACAGGAAAAATGGCCCTATGTATCAAACTGATAATAAACGAGAGAAAACAGTCCGAACAACTCTGCGAGCTGTCCGCTGCCCGTGCTCCCTCAGCGCGGCTGTCCAAAGACAAAACCTGCTGCCGGAGACCTCGAACCTTCCGAGGCAGACCGTCGAGCAGCGTAGTGACAGGTGCCCCAGTCCCGGACTTACTTTGCGCGACACGACTGACCAAACGAGCAGACGCTATGAAGGGGGGAGGGCACCGATGCACTCAGGAGTGGGGACAAAGTGCTCAGAAACCAGTGGGGGCAGGTCAGAGGACACAGAGGTCAGTGTGAAAGGGGCTTCTCCAGGCTAAATCCGGGACAACTTGGCATCACCCCGAGTACTGACAGTGGATTGAATCCCACACGGAATTTACAGAAAAGTCCACGAATTCTTGATAGTAGGAAAAAAAAAAAGGAAAAGGATGAAAAAAATGGAGGAAAGACAGCTCTGCTCCACCGACGAGCACCAACGAGGCCGGCAGAGGACCGTGTGCAGACACCAGCTCAGGCGACGGTCCTGACTGCATGCAGGCCACCGGGCACGAGGTTTGGGGGAGAAGGCCTCCAGGCGATCTTTAGGGCACTGCACCCACAGATGACACCCACATTTCAGGGAGGTCTGGTGAGTCCTTCCTTAGCTAAGCGGTCGGACCCAAGGGTCACCAACAATGGAACAGACTGACAAATGTCCCCAGGACACGTTATCACCTATGTAGTCTGTTTGCCAAAAGCCATCGCCATGACCCTGACCGGGAGGGAACGATCAGACGAGCTCACACTCAGGGACATTCTGCAAAGCTCCTGGCAGCCAGGACTGTTCAAGAAAGTCAGAGACGGGAAAGATGGCGGCGGCGACAGGAAGGCCCAGGAGACTCTGGACTCAAGAAGACAATGAGGCCCTGTCGGATGCTGAGCTGGTTGAACAAACAGAAGTGGCCACACTGGGCAGCGCGGCCCCAGCGGCAGTTCCGGCTTGTGCCTGGTTTACTGCTTGGCGTAGAGCGACCCTGCTTTTAGGAGGCCTTGCGAAGCATTCAGGGATACTTCGTAAGGACGCAGAGATTATATGCTGTGTGTGCGTGTGTGATGACGAAGCAAAAGTGACCCGGAGCTGACTGCTACATGTCGGTGGCGGGTGTTCACCACATGAGTCCTCCTTTCCCGGAGATTCAAAAAGTGGCAAAAAAGACGGGATAAAGAGCTAATTAACATGCCAGGGTCCCAGAGGGACAAAGCAGTTCCTTTTAAGCTCTGAACCTACGTATGAAGTGCAGGCGTCCACCAGCTCTCGCGCTATGAAGCCCGCACAGCGGACACGGTCGTGCAGTTCGTCACTCACCATGCGCAGGCCTGGGAGAGGCCAGTGAAGGGACCTGGATCACACGTGTCTCGTTTCCGTCGCTGTAACCATTGTCCTGAAATCAAAGCAAGTGATTTTTAACAAAGGAGTTGTCAGATGTCGGCTCTGGGCTCACGAAGATGCCCCGCCCCCAACACCAGGGCCACAGGATGTGGGGAGACCCTGTCTGAGCTTGGGACCAGTAGTGACAGGTGTGCCATGATGACAGGGGCCAGCTGGGCCTACAGCAGTGGTGGGAAGAAGCACCTCAGTAAAATCAGGGACTGTGTCCGGGCGGCCCCCAGGGTACCCTCGAGAGGGCCCCCACCTGCTGCTTCAGGATAAAGGCATTTCCGGGGCGCCCTCTAATTCAGTGGTCCTCAGACACAGGGTTTCTGTCAGCAGCCCATGAAGAAAGGTTAAGTTTGCTGCTTTTGAGATGAAGTATTTATTCCGCCCATGTACTTCCTATTGGGTATTAAATTTGGTGTTTGAATTTGGTATTAAAATGCCCTTGATCTGCCCCGGCCAGTGGCTCAGCTGGTTGGAGCGTCGTTCCGTACACCAAGGCTGCGGGCTCGATCCCTGGTCGAGGTGCTCCGGGAGGCAGCCGACGATGTCTCTCTCAGGTCAATGTTTGCCCCCTCTCCCTTCCTCTTTCTCTAAAAACCAATAAACATATTTTTGAGTAAGGATTAAAAAAAAAGTCCTGTATTTTATGAGAAGATACTGACAGGACATGGACAGCTACAGAGTTGGTCCTTACGGGAACCTGCACCTTCAGCACCGTCGCTCTTCCACCGGCTGCCGTGGACCCAGAGGGCACCCGCCCCAGGGCAGGGCCACCTCTCGAGGGTCGGAAACTCTCCACCCAGGGGTGCAGATCAGCAAACAGCTAGACTTCTGAGCCACCGCAAAACAGTGGGCGACCAAGGCCACACCCACAAGCTTCCCTGACCACATGGCCCAGAGGACCCTGAGAGCTGGCTCAAGAGGAGAAGTCTGCAAGCTTGCGCATGAAAGGGCTTGGAAACAATCACTCCAAATGCTCTTCACAGCTCCAGAGAGAGCAAGAGCAGCTACTGCCCCTCGGCTGTCCCTAGTCTACAACCCGCGACACAGAGGTACGTACTGGGGAACGCTTACCTCTAAACACCCTTTATCTTGTAGCAGAGTGTCCACCTGGGTCAAGTATTTCCTCCTCAACTCATCCTTCAGAGGGCTCCAAGGCACTGCAGGCTGAGACAAGAAGTGAGCATCCTTACGAGCTCTGGGGATGGGTGAGCTCTTGGATTCTGGAACTAACTGGCAAGCTCATTAACATGCAGATCTTTAAGCGAAGTGCCTCAGAGTCACCGTTCCACTTCCTGCTGATGCCCGCACAAAGTGGTCCAGCCCTCTGAAAATCCACCTGACCCAGGATCTGACTTTGGGGAACTCACCAGCGGTAACAATTCAAAGGAAAGTTAAAAGACAAAGCAATGCAAAGGTTTATGACAGCATGACTAGAGCAGGACAAAATGTAAGTAAATCTGAATATTCTTAGGTGTTCAGGACTCAGCCATACACTTTATGAGACAAGCTCAGTGCTCCACCTCGGGGGGCAGGAATGGTCGCCTCTGTCCCCCACCTGCCACACTGAACCTCCTCTCTGCAGCCGAGGGGGGTGAGGCTGGGACTGGGGACGCAGATGGGGGTAGCACAGACATGCATTGTTCAGGGTGTCCCTACTGTGAGGCTGCCTACTTCCCCATCACTGCCGCCGCCTCTACTCATGTTCACAAGGACCCCTTTTTCTCCCCCAGGGTCACTGCCTTATTCCAGTCAGACACTCCCAGTCACACCCTGGGTGTATGAGGAAACCTGTGCGCAAAAAAAGAGCGAGTTCAGAGGGAAACCACACACCAGCTACTCTGGCACCTGACACGGGCCAGGTAAGATGCTCCACGTTCTGTGTATTCTCACCTACGCCAGTGGAGCAGACAGGTGAGAAACAGACCCCATAGGAGACAGGCGGCTTCTAGGACCACTGGGGCACGCTGGGAGACAGACACAAAACAACAGCTTGCCCGAGTATGTGACCTTGTGATTCAATAGGCTACCAAGGGCTCACCTCGGAATACCCCTTAGAACACCTTCCTACGACATTGCCTCTGTGGAGAAAGGCCGACTCAGACCCCACCTCCAGCACTGCGTGCTCGGTCAAGGTCAAGGCACAGCGTGACCACAGCTGGGAGTTTCCTGTGTGCAGAGGGGCCACCTTCCAATATCTGTGCAAGCTCAGTACATCAGGCTTGAACTTAGGTGGCGATGGCTACCAAGGGCCAGCCTTGCTGCCTAGGGGAACTGGAGGGGGACCCAGGCCTTGAGAGGTGGGACTAACAAAGAGCAAGCCTCAGGAGAGGAAAGTGCGTGTAAGAGGGTGTGTCTCTGCACCTCGAGCCCTGACCCTGTCCCTGCAGCACAGATGGGTCTTACTGTGATGTCCCCAGCAGCCGGATCCTCCTGGTATAAAGTTGCATCAACATCACTGCTTTTTGAATCTAAAAGCAAAAAAGGGGAATTTCAATCAGACCTTTTAAGAAAGCGTGCATTTCTCTGTCCAGGACGGCTTTTGTAGCACTTGAGTATGTTCTACGGTACAACTGCAGTTGCTTCAAGCCTGCTTCCTTTAGTGAGGGCGCCGCTGGCCGCGCTGTCTCTGAATGTGAGCCAGTGCAGGGGCCCCATCGGGACAGGAGCTCAAGCGGCGGAGACAGGGGGAAGCAGCTCCTTCACTGACCTCTGGTCCCACAAGCTGGTCCCTCTAGCCCAGAGGAAGCTCCCCATCTGCTGGCCACTGTGTTAGCCACTAGCCACGGGTGGCTGCGGAACATGTGGGACGTGGCTGTGAGGCCGGGGAGCTGCATTTTAAGTTTTATTTCATTTTCAGTCTGAATGACCACAGGTGGTATTACCACATGGTACAGCACAGCTCCAGAGCAACTGTTCTTATTACGTAGGAGTCCAGGAAACCCACGGATGTAAGGGTTTATGGAGTTAACACCTGGATTAATATCAGTGAACGAGTTATGAGTAAGTCTTTCCGCCAGTTCTCCCGTGAGGACGTCACCCACATTCCTGACTGCCCGGAGCAGGGGAGGGGTGGGTGGAGAGCTAGGCAGAGTGGACAGAGACTGCAGACAGGTCAATGTTTCAGACGTCTGTCATTCCAGAGGTACTTCACTGCTATGGGGGGAGGCAGCTGTAAAGAACTCAGGTAAGCCCTGGCCGGTTTGGCTCAGCGGTTAGAGCGTCGGCCTGCGGTCCAGAGAGACCCGGGTTTGGCTCAGCGGTTAGAGCGTCGGCCTGCGGTCCAGAGAGACCCGGGTTCGGTTCCCGCTAAGGGCATGTACTTCGGTTGCAGTTTGTCCCCGGCCCTGGTTGGTCGTGCGGGTGGCAGCCACTCGATGTGTCCCTTCACGTCGATGTTTCTCTCTCTCTCTCCCTTCCTTTCTCTCCCTCCTGCTCTATCTGTACAAAAAATGGAAAAATATCCTCATGTGAGGATAAAAAAAAAAAAAAAAAAAAGAACTCAGGTAAAAGCGGGTTCTGATCTGATCTACACTGCTGGCCTGGCTGACCATCCCAGCGAATGCCAGCGATGGTCTCATGAGTGAAGTTCCAGAATTCAGGTCAGGCATGATCTGGTCCCTGCTTTTTATGCAGAGCGACGAGGAGCCACTGTAGCGCTTTGAATGGGGAAGTGGCGGGACCAGTCACGCGATCAGTGTCCGTGGGCGGAGGGCGCCAGAGCTGGTACTGTGGGCGAGCAGTGGGGCTCAGGGCCGAAGGGCACAAGAGCTGGAGGAAGGCAGACGGCACAGGACAGCGACGTCCTGGATGCGAGGAACGAGGGAGGGGCTGGGACAAAGGGGATGCTGGATTTCTGGCTCCTACAGAGGTCTGTGGGTTGACCTCTTCAGTTTAGATACACGAAGTTTAGACAAAGAATTCAAGAGAGGCCAGCAGGCAACCAACACCCCAGATGGGGTCTGGGCTGGGGGCTCTGCCCGAGTGAGGAGCTCAGATCAACTCGAGGGAGGGCACCCTGGGAAGGTGAGAGGTGGGCCGGTAGAAGGGCTGAGAAGGAAGGACAGGGAGGGCTCAGTGCCACTGAAGCCAAGGTCAGGCTTGCCAGAAGCTTCAAACACCGGGGGGCCCCATGGGAACACGAAGGAGAGAGGAAGATGGCAGAGGCAGGAAGCCTTTGGGGGAAATTAGTGGTTCATCCCACCACCTTATGAGGGCAAATCTCAGGTCTTACTAAATTCTTAAGATTACTGATATTATTATTTTTGCAAAAAGTTATAAAAGCTGGGGTGGGGGAGAAGGGCATGTTTCTCATTTAGGAATTTTTGAGTCCCGTTTGTGTGTCAAGTGCAGCAGCTCCTGGGGGGCTCTGGAGCAGTGACAGGGCACTTGAAGATGCTCTACTCCTAAAGCAGACCTGAGAAAAAGCCACAGTAAGGAATCGGGACTTTACCTGCTGTGACAGGGACATGCCAGGCTCAGTCCCGGTGACCTCGGTTTCTAGCTCAGGGCACTCACCCACTCCCAGGTCCTGTGCGCAGGGCGCGGGCAGCGCGTCACCATCCTTCCTGCCAACCGCCTCCACGGGGAAGCCCTCCAAGTGCAGAGAGGGATGAAGACATGCTCGTTTCAGTCATGAGACATTTCAGACCCGGTCAGGTGACACGCCTCCACTCTTCCCGCTCTCATATGGGAGGAGTGCGCCCCACGAGGCTTCTCTTCTAGCACATCTGGGGTGAAGGCCTCGCACTGCTAGAGGGCTCAGGCTCCCCTTGGAAGGGGGACAAGCTTCCCCTCCGGTTGGGCTCAGGGCTGCTGCTTCAAAGCCACGTGGACGGGGGGACGGAGCAGGCAAAGCAAGAAGCCACAGCTCGAGCCAGGGGGCCTGCCCCGGCCCACGCATGACAAAATGAAAAACCAACCCGAAACAGGACAACACTGTCACTAGGTCGTGGGCAGAATCCACAAGTTCGAGAGGTCCCTGGGGGATCTGTGTGACCATCACAATGTGTTTATCTCCATGCTGTGAGGTCTACAACTTGACAAGCTTCAGGAGGGAGTGTGACCCTTTGGGTGGAACCAGGTGAGGCCTTGCAAGAACAGGAGCGAGGACGTGGTGAGGCCCAGCCCCCGGGACAGCTCTGAGGTGTCCTCTCTAAGGCCCGGGGGCCTGTGAGCACGGGGTAACCGAGTCCTGCCTGGTGGAATTGACGGAGTTTGTGGCTGCTGTGTCTGGAGGTGTGGCAGAACGTGGTTTGGGACTTACAGGGAAACAGCCGTTTCTCACCAAACCCTAACTACTGGCAGCTCTGGGGTCTACAAAGAGGACCCGGGCCTTGTGTTAGGACCAAGCTGGCCTAAGTAAAGAGACCCACAGCCTCCAAGCGGCAGTCTGGGGGCAGGAGTTGAGTATGTGGGTGTCTGGGAAAGGAGAAGGCAGATTCGGGCACAATCGCCCATGGCACTTTTAGGTTGTAGACATCTGACCTGTCATTGCCCATCACGCCCGGTTGTCTTGTTCCAGGAAAGGGAGTTTAAAATTCTGCAGACCCCAGACAGGGGCTCTACACTTGAAACAAAAACCTTAAATATCCAGACAACAACATTTTGCCACCAGGACCAGGAGGCACTGGTCTGATTGGTAGGCGTCAGTATTGTGTACAATTTAAAGAGCGCATATCCTTTGACCTAATAACCCCACTTCTGAAAAGGGCGACGCCAGCACTGGGAAGAGACAAGGATTATTCTCCAAGGAGTATTTATAAATGTATTTGCAAACAGGGGTCTTATAAATAAAGTTCTGTTGAAACACAGCCATGCCTGAGAGTTCCTGGATGTCTGTGACGGCCACCACCTTACAACAGAGACCACGTGGGCAGTAAACCTGAAAACACTAATCAGTGCTAATGGCCCTTCACGGGAAATGTGTGCTGATCCTGATTTGCAATAAAGTAAGGGGCGAATAGCTAAATACCTATGGACAAGAGAGCAGTTTTAATGGGAGAGAAGTGTTCACAATATATATTAAGTGGGGGAAAAAGGGTAAAAATATGTGTCCTTATATGAGTATTATAAAGAGGAATCATGTACTAAAATATCATTTGTGACTATCTAGAGAGGTCCGGTCAATTTTAAGTACGCAGTTATATGTATTTCTAACATTTCTACGACTAAATGTATGATGAGTGTTATTAGAGTAACTGATGAGGAAGAAATCGGACTTCTGAGCTGCGGTCAGAGGCTTTGGAGCCCTAGCCCTGAGGTTCGCCTTCCGGCACAAGGCTGAGAAGCGGCGATTCAGAGACATGAGACATCCCCGCAGATGCAGCTATCGCGAGACTGTGTCGCAGGAAGGCAGCTCTATCGGCACCTTCCACGGACATAACAGACACACTCGGGAAAAACCCACCAGCCACAGCTCGTCTTGAAAGGTAGCACAACGCAGAAGGAAGGAAAGAAGCTGACTCCGCACACAGTGCCCTCTCCCTTCTCTCCCTTCTGTTTTCAGAAGAGGAAAGGAGGCATTTTTCTTCCCTAGAAGGACCTGGATTTGGTCCTTTCTGTAAGAATCCAACTAGTGAGCTTGCAGCTGTGGCTGAAGCATGGGGCTGGGAGGTGTGTCCAGCTGGCCCAGCACTGCACATGGGGCCCAGCTGTCAGACTCCCTCAGCCTATGGCAGAGGAGACACCGGGGACAGGAGGGGCTTAAGCACCACACAGCTCCTCCTTATACTTGACAGGCAACAGAAGAAATGCTTCTCAGTAAATCCTTAGAAACAGGAAAATCGGGTTTTTATTTTTCATGGAAGGGCCCCTCGCTAGCCTCCAGAAGCTGCTGGTACCGTTCAGCCCACCCACACCTTTATGCCCATCAACATCCCTCCATGGCAAGGCATGCTGCCAATAAAGTGACATTAAATACCTGGCTTTGTCCTTTGTTTTTCTTCTTTACTAGTCTTCCACCCCAAACTCTCAATCCTTAAGAAAAGAAAAAGAAAAATGACCACTTAAGTAATCCTGAACACCGAGTTTCCATTTAATCTGCATTCAAAGAAAACCAAATGACAGGCAAAAGAAAATTATATTAAAGCCAAGCCATATGTTTGATCTTCTGTTGCTTTTCATCTTTGTGAGGTTGAAGGTTTAAAAAAAAAAAAAAAATCAAGATTAGACAAAAATCTGTTGTTAATGAAACTCTCTACCTAGTGGGCAGCAGCAATGGTCAAATTTCAAGCCACAAAGTTCAATGGAAACAAGGGACATATGCACACCGAGTACTGCTGTCTTCCTGAAGACAGAGACAGAGGGCCATCGACATAGTGCATAGAGGGAGCAGGCACTTTTCGAGGGCGATCTCTGTCCCCCACATACAGAGGAAGTGCTTTCTGAGGGCAAGCCATACGCCCAGAACTATCGCCAAGCACAAGGGTAAACACTGGGTTCTGGAGTCCTGTCCCTTACCAGTTTACAGCCCTGAGCAAGACACTTAATCTCTTCCGAAACCTTCCTTTGCTCCCAGATCAGTTCAAGTTAATCAGAAGGGATCGCTGGGTTTCCAGGTTTAAGTTGGTCGTTAATGATAACAGCAGCAAAAACTTCCATGGTGCTTATAATGTTCCAGGCCCTATTCTAAACCCTTTCCAAGTGCATCTCAGCCTTCACAAAGATCTACTTACATATAAGTCGAACAGGACTCCTAACCCCCCACAGGACAGGCACTGACCAAGTTCACTGCGCAGATGCAGACACAGCAACGTCAAAGTTACCAGCCCAGTCCACTTGCCCACAAAGTGAAGCCAGGCTGTGAACCCAGGACAGTGACTGTGCTCCTGACCACTGTACCACACAGCCTTTCCAGAACAGGGTGATGCCCGAGCAAATGCACTGGGAGTCAAATCCAGGCTTTGCCATCTTGGCTAAGTGATATGGGGCAAGGTCATTAACCTCTCTGCCCCACCCCCCACCCCAAGGAAATGAGAATGATTCTAAGAACAGTGCCTACCTCACAGGATTGTTGAGAATCAAAAACATAAGACTCTTAGAAGCACACTTTAGCTGTCAACACATGCAAACTACTGTTACTTTCCTGGTCTCTCGAGTGCCTCTCCGGCTAAGCAACAGGTCCGCTAGCCCTTGTTAGACTGCAGACCTACTACTGAAGCTGCACCCAGCACCCAGGAATCTGCGTTTTCAAAAAGCTCTCCAGGTGGTCTTCCACAGGCTAAAGTGGGACTGCTAGCAAGCTGTTTAGGCACTTCAACGGCCATTCTAGTCCAAATGGGAGTCAGAAATGAATTTTCACTGGTGAAATCAGTGGTATTCGAGGTATAGAAACTGGCAAAAGATTCCAGACACTGCCCACTCTTAGTGAAGCCTGCAGGAATGATTCCTGCAGAGCCCTGCGTCCTGCCCTGGGGTCAGAGTCGTCACCGCCTTCACAGACCAGAGTAACAGAAATCTGCAGCTGAAACACCTTAGCCACTGCCTGTGCCAACTTTCCACCCAAGGTGTGGCTGGGTCGGCTAAGAAGGTAAAGAGCGAGGACTTCATTTACGGAGCAGGTCTTATGCACCTTTTTGTGCCTGTCTTATCCAACACAGGCAGAGCGGGATCTGAGGAACTGTCACCCAGGGCAAACTAGCTGCATACCAAAGAGAACCCATGAAAATTAAGTTTGCATCAACAACTATTTTTTTAAATTTTTTTAGAGAAAGAAGAGGAAGGAGAGAAACATCCACGAGAAAGAACATGCATCGGCCGCCTCCTGCACGCCCCCCACTGGGGATCAGACCCACAACCTGGGCATGTGCCCTGACCGGGAATCGAACCGGCGACCTCTTGGTGCAGGGTGGACGCTCCACCACGGAGCCGCACCTGCGGGGCGCCAACTATTAAACGATAAACTATGAATAGTGAGGGGGGTATGATTCCGTACCCTGGGCCGTCTTGTAGGTCAGCGTGGACATTTGCACCACCGGGGCATCCTCGAAGGGTTGATTGTACTGCAGGGCAGAAAGGGGCGTCAGTCACGTCGGGTCCGAGGGCCCAAGGAGCTCCTGGCCCGGGCTGAGGGGAGACCCCCTGCCCCCGGACGGCCAAGCCTGCCTCCCTGTTCCCTGCACCCCAATCTCGCCTTCCCCCTTCTTGCCCCCAGCCCCTAAACCCCGCCTCCTCTCCCGTTAACCCCAGCCTCAGACTCCACCTCCCCGCACCCCGCTGCCCTCCTTCCCCCGTCCCCAACCCTGTTTTCCCTTCTGCGCGGGCCTCGCGCCCCCTCCCGGCGGTGGGGTCGGGGACCGCACCTTCTCCAGCAGCTGCTGCATGTGCCTCTGGAAGCGGTGGCGGCTCTCCCTGAGCTGCCGCATCAGCGCGTCTCCCCCGGAGGCCTCGCGCTCCATGGCGCCCCGAGACCCCGGCCCCGACGCCAGCAGGAAGTCGGCTGGGAGACTCCCCGCGCCGGTTCAAATAGCGACTCCGCCCTTCCGGCCCGCCTCCTGGCTCTCCATTGGCTGGCGTGGAGACGCTGGGCGCTGATTGGGCCTTTCAAACACGGTGAGCTTTTGTCCGGCCAATCGCGCCGAAGTTTCCGCATCCGCCCCGCTCCGAGTCTCAGACGCCGTAACGGCCGGTTGTCCCTCGGGCTGCCGCGGTGCCTGATAATCAAGTGTCCCGCGAGCATCCTGCGAAGTACGTACAGTGTTCCCCGTTGTGCGCGTGGGGCACCCCCTCGCCCTGGGCCCTCGGCTCCCCACCCCGCCCTCCTCCGGGCCTCGTGCTGTCGCGAGAGCGGGGCCAACAAAGAGACACCACCCCCCCCCAATTACGGATACGAAGAGGCGGGCAGGTGAACGTGCATTTAGAGAGAAGTGCCAGGAACGGCACAGAATCCAGTGATTTAAAAAACGTATAGTTTTTAACCTCCTACCACACCGTTTTCATTCATATTTTTATTGCACACTCGGTCTCTTCGTTGACAGTGATTTTGCAGTATTTTCTCCAAAGTATAGAAGGAGAATGGTCTTTCCTCGAGTATGGCTGACCGAAGTCCACGCATGTTTTAGACAAGTTGTATTCAGCCTCATAAATTAGTCAAAGCCGTGTGCTGGTCCTGATAGGGGCACCGTAGCGTGTGATGGGGGGGGGGGTGTCTCCCCCCCATGCTTGCTCTCAGGCCTACCATGCCAGCCAGCAGAAATTAAGGGAGAAGAGGGGAGTGAGGAGAAGTTCAGGGCTCAAGGGGTGTAAGTGAAAAGCGTTGTGATGGACCCCCAGATCCGCCGGCAAGAGGGCCCCGCCGCTGGGAGGGTTGTCTGCAGGAGCTCGGGTGCAGAGAGCCCCTCACCGGGTCTGCAGCCCCTGAGCTCCCTCTGCAGTCCTCCCGGGCAACCCGTCCAGTCTCTGCTTGCTCCCCGTCCAGTCTCAGCTTGCTCCCCGTCGGCACGTGCCTAACCGCAGGGCAAACAAACATCCTGCACTCCAACTGCGTCCTGCTCCGCAACCTGGAGACTCCAGCCTGCAACAGGGACCGGGCTGCAAGTGGCCACAGAAGCTACACATTCCGTTGGTAGCGTTTTCAATGTTCACCTGCAAACAGGTTTTTTCCTCCTCCCTCCTAGGGAGTGTTGAGAAACCGAACATGCTGTTCCTTCCACCCTGTTAGTTTTCAAACATTTAACGGTCCCATTTAGAGACTTGAGGCCTTAGGTAGCATTTTCCTTTTCTTCTCTTTTAACGCTTGGCAAGCTTTGGCTCCTATGACCAAAACATGTGCTTGTGACACTTCTCAGAATTGGCCCCTCTTGGGTCCCGGTCCTTGCTGCTGGGAAAGCACACCCAGGTTCCAGGGCTCCAGGAGGTGCCTCTCTCCAGGGGCTCATGGGCAGATTCAGGGGAAAGATGTCTCAGTCTCAAGTTCTTAAATTGAAGGTCCTAAAACATACCCCCCCCCCTTATTTTTATTCCTCACCTGAGGATATTTTCCCATTTCTCTTCAGATAGAGTGGGAGGTGGAGGGAGGAGGAGTGAAACATCATGTGAGAAAGACACATCGATTGGTTGCCTCCCACACGACCCCACCCAGGTCCGGAACCTAATTGCAACCCAGGTACATGTCCTTGACTGGAATAGAACCCACGACTCTTTGGTCCTCAGGCTGATGCCCTAACTGCTGAGCCAAACCAGCCAGGGCAACATACCTGTTTTGGCCAATCCTGTCTGAACCAGCCAAAGAGGGTGCATTGGCTCTTGTCCTTCAAGTCTGGTCTGCAAGTCCTCTCTGACCGGCTTTCCCTAATCCATGGCCCAAAGTGGAGGCCCAGGGAAGGAAGGAGCCCTGCTGGATGCTCCTAACTTGGCACCATTCCCTACAACCCCTCCCCTCACACCCACCATAGCAACCTAAACATGTGACCCAGACCCCCTTCCAAACACCTTCTCCACCACTCCCCACTCCCATGTAACAGGGAAGGATCACATGTCAGCTCCTTCCCTGGCAGTGGAGGTGGCTGGGTGCAGCACCTTGGGGTCTCACATTTCCTTTCCGTAGCTTGCAGGGATGAGGGGGTGCTCAGCCCTGCTGCAGAATCCCCACTTCTGTTGTACCTGCACAGCGCCCTCTGCTGACCTGGCCAGAATGTTCAACCCTCAAAGTGCTGTTTAAAATTGTGTACATAGTAAATAATTCTCTGGAATTATTGTATGTCTGCTCTCATAAAATGTGCCTGAATTTTATGACATTTTATATAATAAATGGAGATTTGACTTTGGGTGGTGGGCACACAATGCAATATACAGATCATGTATCATAGAAAATGTATACTTGAAACCTACATGACCCAATTAACCAATGTCACCCCAATAAATTTAATAAAATGGGATTTATTCTGCCATGCACATACTTTTATGTTGGAAAGGTGTGAAAATGTCATCACCTGTCTGTGGTTGGAGAAGCACAGCTTTTGGCTGGTCCCAGCGTTGACACAGAAACTGCTATGTGACAGCGAAAATGTTGCTCTGAGATGAGTTATCAACCGCAAGCTTCAAGCCCGCCAAGAAAGGGTCCACTCTGCCACACCAGGGCTGACAGAAGCAGAGCGACTAGGAAGTAGCCCACAAGTGGACTTTCCAAAAGGCGTCAGTCAGAGCTCACAAAATGTGTTTATTCTTTGACTTAATGAGTTTCTTTTTTGAGATCTATCCCAAGTAATCAAGGGTGTTGGCAAGGATTTAGCTGTAGGATCTGTAGTGAAGCATGTTTATAAAGTCCAGCAAGAGGAAGAAGGTTGAATACATGGTGATGCTTATCTATCCACTAAATAACAATTTTGAAGAACTGTATTGTCACCCTAAATGTATATGATTGTTTTCTTAGTACCATGGAGATTACAAACATATGTATTATATATCTGCATTTAAAAAATATCCATTGTCTGTTTTACAGTGAGTATGGATATATTGAAACATTTCTGGTGCTACCCCTGGATGATGGTGCTGTGGGTTGAAGTTAGTATAGTTTTCCTCAGCTGCATCATCTGGAATGAACATATATTCTGCAATTATGAGCATGCATGACTCATGTAATAAAAACACAGTGGAACCAATCATGTGTTTTTACCTTGGCTCTCCAAAATTAGAGACCATTTACCCAAATAGGACACGCGTGGCTCACACATTCTGAAAGTGCTGTCATGCATCGTTTTATCATAATGATACCTCACCTCCCAGCTTTTACCCAGAAATGCTTTTTTCCTGGGAAAAGTAGGGCTTCAGATCTCTTGGTTGTTGATGTTCCCACCTCAGGTTCATGTGGTGGGAAATGGCTTTTTATTCTTCACCTTAGGCTTTTTTGCAACACAAATTCGCTTTTTGGGTCATGATTAATGCGTTTTAATGGGCTATCCACTTTAAAAAATCAATAAAAAGAATTTACTTTAAAAATAGAAGGCAATTAGATTGATTTGGATGACCTATTTTTAATCATTCCCATTATTTATGGATCTGAAAACTCTCAGGACCTCTTTCTCTGGAGCCTTCAAGGATCAGCTCTTGTAATTATATGTGGATACTTTTAAAACAGGAGGCACCAGGTTAATTGATAATTTTCTAAATACTTTTCCAAAAAAAAAAAATTACCCACCTTAGAAATGTTCCCAGATTGCCTGTCCTTTGTTCTTTCATCAGCCCATCCCAGTTCCTCTTACTGCCCATGCTTTACTGGAGTGAATTTGAAAAAGACAGAAGAAACTTTGTTCTGTTTCTTGAAAAGTTTTGGTGTATCCAACTCTTGATTCAAATTAGATTTTATGTTAATAGTGTTACATGTTCTTCCAACTATCTTGAACTTTTTGTATTCAATCACTGATACCATTGCTTCTAATCTTATTTTCTTTGAGAAAAAAAGAATGTCTGTGTCTCTCTCATTTATCACATTATTACTTAAAGCCCGGCCATTGTGGCTCAGTGGTTGAGCATCGACCCGTGCACCAAGAGGTTGCTGGTTCGATTCCCGGTCAGGGCACATGCTCAGGTTGTGGGCCTGATCCCCAGTGGGGGGGGGGGGGGGGCATGCAGGAGGCTGCCAATCTTTGTTCTCTCTCATTGATGTTTCTATCTCTCTCTCCCTCTCCCTTCCTCTGTTTAAAATCAGTAAAGAAAAAAAAAAGGAATATGGACATCAAACTTAAACCAGACGTGCCCATCATTAGGGCTGTGATGGTGATGGCTTTCCTTTCCTGTGTGGATTCTGCTAATGTTTACTATGGGTTTATGGTTCACCAGCCTGGCACATTGTGATGGTGAATTTTATGTCGATTGGGCTATGGACACCCAGCTCTCGGGTGAGACACTCGTTCTGGGTGTGACCGGGACAGTGTTCGGAGTCAGCCGCCTGGGTAGAGCAGACCGCCTTCCCCGGTGTGGGCGGGCCTCAGCCAGTGTGTCCAGGGTCTGAAAAGACAAGAAGGTGGAGGAAGAGAGCTTTTCTCTTTCGGCCTGAGTGACCTTGGACCTCTCCTGCCCCCAGACTTACACCATCAGCCCTCCGGTTCTTGGGCCTTCAGAGGCAGACGGGAACCGCTCCACGGCTCCCCGGGCCTCCAGCCTGCAGCGGGCGGATCGTGGACCTCAGCCCCCATCATCACGGGAGCCAATAAAATCTCTTACATTTGCTGAGGATTTTTTATGGTTTGAAATACGGTCATGGCTGAGCTCCGGCCAGGACGGAGAGCTGGTGCCAGCTCTGTGTTCGCTGGTCTCTGCGCCCGTGCTTTCTCCGCCGAAATCCTGTGGTTTGTATCTTCTTCTTAATTTGTCAAAGCACCAACTCTTAGGTTTACTTATTAGGCGTACACATTTGCTATCTTTTAATTGATGAGTGTTAATTTTACCTTTTTCATCTTAAGTATTTTCTTTGC